TTACAGTACGTTTATGTACAAGCAACTAAAGTAGTTATGAAATGAAAAGTATTTTATTTCTTATTACTTTACTTAATAAAACAAACATATTTAGTTTTATTGTCGCTAACCATCTTCAATATTCATAAACTTAACACAATCTTAAAACAATTAACAACAAAATCTCTAATTCTAAAAATAGAAATTGTTCAATTTTTTTGCTTAATAAGACGTATTTCCACCCCGGCTACTAATGACAGCTTGACATCGACGATTCATACTTAAATTAAACTGTCTTAAAGTATTCTGATCCAGTTCATTCCAAATTTGGACAAGACGTTGTTCCAGTTCCTGCAGAGTGTTGGGTTGATTAGGAAAATTCTGTAGACGTCTACCAAGCAAGTTCCAAATATTCTCTATAGGATTGAGATCGGCACTATTCGCTGGCCATTCCATAACGTCGACTCCAACTTCCTCTAGATAATTTTGCACTATATTTGCAACGTGTGGTCGTGCATTATCGTGCATTAGAACAAAATTTTCGCCAATATAAGGAGCAAATGGCACAACGTGGTCTTGAAGAACGTCAAAGATATATCGGTGAGCGTTGATGGTACCGTTATTCAACACCACCAAGTCTGTACGACCCGTTAAAGAAACGCCACCCCAGACCATAACCGACTCTCCACTGAATAACGTCGTTCCTCGCATGTTACACGGTGCATACCGTTCGTTCTGACGTCGGTACACGCGAATACGTTTATCACAATTGTAAAGACAGAATCTGCTCTCATCTGTAAATAGAACTCTATTCCAATCAGCCTCCAACCAATGGATATGATTTCGTGCAAATTCTAAACGCGCTCTGCCATGAGCTACGGACAGTTTAACAGCTGATTCGAGCATTAGGAACATCTTCAAGTTGAGATTGTAAGCTTCTGGTAGTTACAAATTGTTGTCTTAGGATGCGAATGTTGGTATGACAATTCTATATTGTACATTTTTATGTTAAGTGTTGGCATTACCTGTAAGTGACAAGTGTCAACGTCAAGAAGTAGAATTAAGACATTCATGTGAACAACAATTTATGTTAGAATAAAACGTTTATTTTTATCAACGTATTGTTTTAGTATTCCATCTATAAGCAAGACTTTTTCCATCACGCATCCCTAAAGCGAAGTCGTAAAAACGGTCTTGAACGGACGTTGTTACAGAATGTCGACCTTGCCCTGGACACCTAGAGTGACTACCGGTGTTTCTGTACCGTTCCATAATTCGTGAGACCGATGTATGATGTACGCCGAACCGTTCCCCTAAATGTCTGTAACTCCAACCTTCTTCGTGCAAAACTACTATTTGAGCACACTCTTCATTAGTCAAATTTCTCGGTTCGCGTTGCATTTTGATTAAAACAATAGCAAAATGTTACCACCAAACAGCAATAGTTCACATAACGACTGAAAAATGACACTAACCTCTTATCGACATTAAAAAATTTACAGCACCTTTGTTTTGTGTTCCTTAGAAACCGGTTAAAACAAAAAAACAATACAAGTAACCTGATAAAAACATTCCAAATACATGGTATATTCCATACAAAAATGAATACAATTAAATTTAAAACACCAATGAATCCCTTTTTTTGTTTTTGTAAATGGTGCGTTAATTTATTGGAGTAGTGTATAGCAAAAAATACGACCGTTGATTAAATTTAAAATATATTCAATAGTTGAATAGCAGAGGTTGTATCGGTCAATAATAGGCAAATGAAAGTCGTCAACTACTTCATTGATTTAATTGAATACGTTTCGCTTTTTGTTTTCAAAAGCATCATCAGTTCACTACAAATAAAATAAAAAGATTTAAAATATAAGTAAATAACCAAAAGGATTCATACTTACAAAAACAATTTGTAAAACACATAAGAAAAAACTGAAAGAGCACTATTGTTTATTTAATTTTTACCGATGACTTCATCTCAATGTGGATGTAAGCTCTTTCGAAGATCCAACACAATAAACACAAGCCCTATTTTTCAAAAAGGAATATTTTTTTTCTTTTGTCCTCCTCCTTTGTCTTTAAAAAACAAACAAACAAAAATTTTTTTTTAAATAGGGAAAGAAGAAGGGGAATGAAGTTACTATCTTGTACGTGTTTTTTATTTAATTATTATTTGTTGTGTATGATGAGAGAGTGATATATCTGGCTCAAGTTGTCGATGTCGGTTCTTTTATTTAGGGATGATGGATGTTTAAGAATTTGACACATTTCAAGGATAGAACGCTTATGATAATTTTTTTGTTTGCACAGTATTTTGGTATTAGTGAAGTCGATACTGTGTTTGGTTGAAATGGCATGTTGTGCAAGGGCACAGGATGGTTTTGAAATCCTAATGTCGCTTTTATGGGACGTTAGTCGACCTTGAAGAGAACGGCTGGTCTTGCCAATGTAGCAGGAGTTGAACTCCGCACAGGGTACATGATAGACGACGTTAGTTTGTTCTAGAGGGGCCAATGGAGTTTTTGTCTTAGAAAATAACTTTCCTACGGTTCTGGTGTTTTTTAAAGCTATTTTGACAGGTAAGTTTTGGAAAAGTTTGATTAGCTTGTTCGTGATTTGTGGGAAGTACGGGAGCGAAGAATATTTTATGGTTTGTTCAGGAGTGAGAGGGGACTCATTCATTTGTATTCTGTTAGAAATGGACGCTAATGTTAGCCCGTTGGGTGTTTCAGTGATGGACTGCCCATAGCTTTTGGAATATAGAAATTTATTGATAATGGATGCCGGATAGGAGTTATCTATGAGAATAGACTTCAGTAAATTGAGAGATTCTTCTTTGTAAAGCGGATGTGTCAACATGTGTACTCTAAGGCTGAGGGCTTGTACCAGGTTAAGTTTATATCTGATTGGATGTGTCGAATGGTAGTTTAAGAAACGGTTGCTAGCCATTTCTTTTCTGTACCAGGTAGTGACTAATCTGTTATCTGGAGTGCGAATAATTCGCATATCTAAAAACGGGATACTGTTCTCAACCTCCAATTCCCATATAAATTGTAGGTGAGGATCAAAGCAGTTAAAAACTGATAAAGTGTCGTCCGCCTTGTTCGACGGGGTTGCTAAAATCAGATCGTCGACATACCGTTTTACAAAGGGAACCTGCAAATCTAACTTCTTGATACTCTCATTAATAAGATCGTCTAGAACAAAGTTGACTAGAATAGGAGAAATCGTGGATCCCATAGGAGTTCCAAAAATTTGGCGATAAAATTTGTCATTAAAAATTAAATAATTGGTGACAAAAATCAATTTTAATAATTCGGAAAAAGTTTCCCAAGATATCGGACTGTGGGGTTGGATTTGATTCCAATGGTTACGGAGAGAAGTTAATACGCTGGAAAGTGGAAGATTTGTGAACAAGGATACTACGTCAAAACTTACTAAGACAAAGCCTCTGGGTAGTTGATAATTATTAATAAATTCACTGAACTGGAAAGAATCTGTTATGTTGAAGTCATTATTATAATTGTATGCTTGTGAAAGAATGTTCGTTAGAAATTGAGCTATATTCGTGTTTGGAGCATTTATTGAAGATAATATGGGTCGCATACTTAGTGTGGTTTGTGAATTTTGGGGAGACAGTAAAATCTAGGAGCATAGCCATTGTAATTATGGAGGGATTTGGCTAGTTTATCGTCAATAATTTTTTTGTTTTTTAGTTCAGTGATATATCGGTTGATTTTGTTGGTGTAGGTAGAAGTGGGATTGCGAAGAAGTGGTTGATAGTATTTACTATCATCTAGGAGTTTCTGGCTCAGGTTAATGTATTGCTCTCTCATCATAAGGACTGTGGCATTACCTTTATCACTAGTTAATACCATTAGGTCAGAGTGTTTTTTTAGAAAAGTGGCCGCTTGTTCATAAACAAGATCAAAATCGGTTTTGGCGTTAGAAGGCTTATGTGAGAAGTTAGTGGGAATGTTGTTGGCAGAAGATCTTAATTTGAGAAGGTCGTTGACATACTATCTCAATCTGAAACCAACGACCAACGAACATCTTTAAAAAAACCTACAAATTGTTTTTGTAAGTATGATCCCTTTTGGTTATTTACTTATATTTTAAATCTTTTTATTTTTATTTGTAGTGAACTGATGCTTTTGAAAACAAAAAGCGAAACGTATTCAATTAAATCAATGAAGTAGTTGACGACTTTCATTTGCCTATTATTGACCGATACAACCTCTGCTATTCAACTATTGAATATATTTTATATATATATATATATATATATATATATATATATATATATATATATATATATATATATATATATATATATATATATATGGGAATCACATGCAGCAACTTAAACTTATTCGTAAACTATGTAGTTCGTAAGGTTTTGTTATGAAATCTGCGATTTAGTTAAATTTTGCAATGGATGGTATATTTTATTATGTGTTTTATTTTGTGGTATTGACAATTTATATAATTTTAGTAAATTTCAGTTGTTATTGTTATTTTTTTGACTTTTGTAAGCTTTGTCCATAAAATTGTCCTTCTTTATATTTTATTTCTTTACTCCGTTTGGAGTACCAGAAATTGAATTCACTACAAATTTTGACCATGATGAACGGCATGTGGAATGCAATTTTATATTTCCTTGTCGAGTAATTTATCAAGCTGTTTGCTTTGCATAGCTTTGCACAAGTTTTAGAAAGCACTTTGGGTAAAAATTTGAATTCGATTTCGTCAGGTAGAAATCGTATGATTTCTCTTTTTGTTCTTAGATGGCGTAGTTACGACTGTATATAGTTATTTTGATAACTATTGTCTACGACAGGAATAGATTTTGTTTCGATTAAGAGTAGAGGCTATACCGCTCGGAGGAGACCTAAAGAGGTCGAAATACATATAAGCGGCTTGCCGCTGCTCTGTAAAAATATAGTACTGTCTTTATATTCTAGTACCGTCTTTATATCATATTTCTATTTTATAATATACGTCTTGATTATCTGTTTTAGGACAACAAGGGACCCAAAAATAAATTCTCATGATTCGTTACCTTTTATAATACATAAACTACCAGTTTCGCCGTGTATAAAGTTGGAGAACAAAAACAATGTCAAAAGTTTATTTAAAAGAAGTCATAAACAAAATTGTTCCCAATCAGAAGAAAAGAAAACCACTACTTTGCTGTAAGTCAAATTTTTGGTATTGTTAAAAACTAGGCATTAATGTATAACACATAAACTACAATTTGTTTTGAGATACGACACCAATATAAAAAAGAAGAATCGGCAAAAATATCGCAAATGTTGGAAAATATACATAGTATTACAATTGTTTGGAACATTTTACGAATGATAAAGATTTCATTAAAATATTAGATGAACATTTTTAAGGTCATTTTCGTAAGCAGTAATCTGCACTTTCTATAACGAAGAATTTGTCGCAGTCCACTAATTGAATCACTTATTTATGAAAGGATATAAGTCACAAGAATGAAGTTTTGAGAAAATTTAAAAAAATTGACATATCGTTTCATAAATATAGCATTTTTCATATAAAAAAGCTTGCACGTCAAAACATCAAAAAAGTTAGTAAATGAGGAATTTTTAAAATGTCAACTATTTGTCAAACTGTTATATTAACAGTAAATACACTTAGTTTTAAGATTACTACAACACATTAAAATACATAAGAAAACATTTTAATACAAAATTATATATTCTAAATTTTAAACTTACCTCTTTTAGGGGTTTAATAGTAAAAACGTCCCGCCATTATTTCTTGTTCAAAATAATCTATCTTTTATGAAAGTTTATCAGTTTTCTACAGACTATTTATTTGTTTTGGAATATCACATTCACAATACACAACAATAATTAGTTTTTAAAGCTATTAATCTAAATTTAATATGTATTTATAAATACAATTTATATTATGATCAAATTGTGTAAGAAATCAAAACATAAACAAAATTCCTATTCTAAAGAGGCGGCAACACTTTATACACTTTTGTCATACGCTTAACTGTCAATACAATTTGAAGTATTTCCGTATCAGTTGCGTGCAATTGTCTAATATATCTAATTAAAATTATTATTTTGTGGAATATTAGAATTAAAGAGTTATTTCATGAAATATATAATATTAATCATAACAAATGTTTTTGGTTATTTAATCAATATAATTCTAAAATTTCCAATATAATGATGATTACATTTGTCTAATTATACGGTACTGAAAACTTATATTCTTTTATGACTAAATGTTAGATATAAGTATTGAAAACAAATTGTCGCCATAATCTCAATTTACATAAAGTAGTTATATCCTTTCATAAATAAGCGATTCAATTAGAGAATTCCTATTCGTAAATGCTATAATTTGATAGCATGAGTATTTCCAGCAAGGCACAATAAATTCTACTATTATTATAAATTTAATTTATTATCTTTATTTAATATAAAAGTGTTCTACATTTATAACACTTACAAGTTTATTAGAGTCTTCATTAATTTATATATACAATATTCGCTAATTTATTTCACACTATTTATTTCCCGTTACAATTTAAACTCGATACGATTATATTTTCGGACTGGCTTGTTTTTAAATGTTTAAAAATGTTTATATATTATATATATATATATATATATATATATATATATATATATATATATTAATATACATATATATATATGTAAATATATATATATATATATATATATAATATATATATATATATCTCAAACAACCGCTATTCCGGAATTCCGGCGACCCCTTTCGAATAGACTAAAAGGTCACGCCAGACAGGTTCTTTTAGCTGAAGGGGACCCGTGGATTTCTGCCGGCCTCGATCGGAACGCTGGTGTATGATCTGGAAAATACTTGAATGGAATAGAATTAGAAATAATACGTTTACAGTTTTATGAGTCATTATTTATCGTAACAAAATGTTTATTGGGACAATAATTTAAAACACTTATCTTTATTTTTAGTCCAATTTCTATTACATTTGTTGTTGCATAAAAAATATAAATAAATAATAAATAATATGTTAAATTTTTAGAGAAAATGCAGCAGTTGGACCAAGTAAACCGCTTATAGATATTAGTACACTATTAAATGATCCGAATATATTTCAAAATAGAAGTGCAGTCACCGTGTGGAACGGAATTGTAAAACAGAAACCAAATAGGTAATAAAATTTAATTAAATTAATTGAATAAATTTAAAAACTATATTTATTTTTAAATATTGATTTTTTGTCTTTTTTCTTAGAGATGCTGCAAATCTAGTTAAAGTATGTGCAAAGCATAGGAAACAATACTCACCACAATCGAAAGAACATAAAGAGCATAAAGAACAGCATATAGGATTTACTACCGAGTGTAAAAATCAAAGGTAAATGCATTTAAATCTGTTTATGATCCAATTTTCCTTATTTCTATTTATATCTATTTATTTCTTATTTCTATTTATATCTAAAAAGTCTATTTATATCTAAGTATTTAATTTCTTTACATTTTTCTCACGTTGAGATTTCCTTTTTCTTCTTCTTGATGTACCTATCCGTTACGAATCTTGGCGATCATCATGTCAAATCTTTATGTTATCTGCAGCTGCACGAAAAAGCGCGTGTGTGTGTGTGTGTTTTTTATTGGCACTGGTTTTGACAACCAACTGGCCAGTCAATAGATAATAGTGTGCAGATGGATAAACTTCAGCTATTTGTTCTAAAGTTTCACAAAATATGGAATATTTCTCAAATCTAGACTTTGGTGGAAAATATGCTGTTTCTATAATAAACTGATTTGCACCTTCAGTCACCAGGACAAAAAGTTGTTCGATTGTATGATTAACTGTTGAACATCTACGGCTAAAGCTCTTATAAACTGCAATAAGGACTCCACCACCTGTTAAGAATGAACTTGTTTCCCTGGAGCGATCAGTTCTATAGATGTTGTTCCCAAACAACTGCAGCTCTTCATTGGCATAGTTACATGTCAACCAAGTCTCCTTGAATATGATAATATTGTAATAAGAATAGGATACATTGATAAATAAACTGTCGAGCTTAGCTCTTAGACCTCGTACATTTTGAAAATAAACATACACTCCAGGTGAAGACTGTGTTAGATTTTGCCATTATTCTTGCCATTGTTCTTATTATTTAAGTACTTAATAAATAAATGTTGGTCGCCTTTTCTCTGTCTTTCTTTAAGTTCACTCTTGATAATGTTTCATGCAGTTCTCTGGTGTGGGGTGAGATCTAAATTGATAAAAATCTTTAATGATCTGTCAATATTTCTTCTATTTCTGAGTATTGACAGATATCTCCTCTATTTATTTTTAGAATTCCCGTGTGGTCTTCGACAGCTCAAATTCTGGCTTTAAAGTCCCTTAGTATGTATCGTATTTTTCTAAACAAGTGTTTTTACTTGTTGTTTTGATCATGGCTTCCAATTTCCTTGCGTACATTGTTGTTTGTCAGCATTATATCTCCATTTTATTTCTTTGTTGAGGTTTCCCAAATTAATTTTTTCACTTTATATGTGCACACCAGTTTCTTCTGTTCTCAAATATTTGAAATGTGTCATCTGTTTTCCAGTGTATTTTTTGTATTTCTATTTATATCTAAAAAGTCTATTTATATCTAAGTATTTAATTTGTTTACATTTTTCTTACGTTGAGATTTTCTTAGCTTGTCTCACAGAGATGTCTCTGTGAATTGGAATTCTTCTGTCTGCTCCGCGGGAATTAGAATTCAAATAGATATTTGTATAGATCGAATAATGATACTTTGTAATACCGTATATACAATGATACTAACTCCATTCCAGTAGATATTTATTACTACGTCAATACAATGTAAATCTCCAGGCCAACGCATCTCGCTAATTCCTAGTAGATATACCAAGCTTTAAAGTTTTTGTCATGACTAAAGTGTCACAGTATTAATAAACTATCGTGTGTATTTTCTTTTAGATCTACCCAGAAAAGTCTTCAATGTGAAAATAATAGCACACAAGTTAGTTTTGTTGAAAAAATATAAAGAAAGGCCATTACATTTTTCCCAGTAAAGGTAATTACTGTAAATCTAAAAAACTATTAAATGTAAGTAGGTAATTATACTATAAATTATTATGCCGTTAATTTTTTCTCAGACGCGACAGTTCTTACTGTCTGACTTGCTCATCTTATTAATTCCATAATTTAGAGGACAATAGACATTTGCCAAGTTAATATCTATAAAAATAATAGTAAATCTTCTTTCTCTTTATAAGAAATTCTGCTTGTTCATAGGCGGATTAATACCTCTATGGAAGGTTGTCACTCCATCTTTTGCGCTGCGCGGTTGTCCGATACTTCTTCTGCCGATTGGTGACTTATCTCTTGCTATTGTGACGACACGGGTCTCTTCCATTCTGCTTGTATGGATATTCCATTCTTTTTTTATATTTTGTGTCCATTCATTTATACACTGTATGTTACATCTTCTAATGTATTCACTTCTCTTTCGATCTCTCAACGTATTTCCTATAATTCTTCTCAGTATCCTCATCTCTCAGTCTTACATTGGTTTTATAAATTCTTGACTTCATCTCAGTGTTAATGTATCTGTTTCGCTGGGCGACTACGAACTGCCCCACGAACTACCTGGGGCCTTTAATCCGAAGTACCTACTGCCCCATCGCCGAGAAAGTTGGGGATTAAATTTTAATGACCGGAAATTCCAAATTTGATCATAGTTGAAAGTAAAAACATAAATGTTTTCAGTTATTCACTTCAGTTGCAAGTATTACGGTATAGTTTTGTGTTTAACATTTAAATGGCGAATCCAACGACTATGTTTAGTCAAAGGGGAGAAAATTATGTTATTCTTGAAAAAGCATCGGAGCATAATCATGCTCCAGATATCCACGTAGACCGGCAAATTTTTAGTAATTCTACAAAGAGAAAAGCTGTAGAAGATATATGTGAAAAACCTTTTAAGATTGTCCACAAGGAATTGAGAAAGGAAAAATTCAGCAATTTACCGCTGACGACGAAAGACATTTCTTGCGTTCGAAGAAATATCTATGCTACAAGACGAATATCCAGACCATCATTGCCCAAGTCACAGGAGGAAGTTCTACAAGTGTTAGTGAACTTAAAATTAAAAACAAATACAGGTGAAAACTTTTTATTATCTATGAAAAATAATTCCACAATTTTTAGTTGTTTCACAAATCTTTACTTTCTGTGTAATGTAGATTCTTTGTATGTAGATGGAACTTTTCAATACTGTTCTAAATATTTTTGTCAGATGTTTACTATACATGGCTACAAAAATGGTTTTTTATGTTCCTCTAGTATTTTGTTTGTTTCCAAATAAATCACAGCAATCGTACAAAAGTACTTTTGATACATTAATAACAATATGTACAGATTTGAATTTAAATTTCAAACCGAAGCGAATAATTTCTGATTTTGAAATAGCAATTCAAAATGCAGCCAAGTTAGTGTGGCCCGACATTATTATTTTTTGTTGCAAATTTCATTTAACACAAAATTGGTACCGAAAAATTCAAAATTTAGGTTTGTTCTCGGAATATAAAAATCAAACTGTTATTGGAAAATATTTAAAATTGTTTTTCGGCATTCCTTATTTACATCCAAATGATGTTGGTGAGTTTTTTCTGATGAACTTTTTAATATTATACCAGAAGATGACAGAGTTTTGCAATTTTGTGATTACCTACTTGATAATTATTTAACGGAAGATTCAACATTTCCACCTTACATATGGGCTTCAAATTCATCATCTCTTATATTTACTACAAACGCATGTGAATCATTTCACTCGAAATTTAACGAATGTTTTTATAAATCACATCCTGACATATTTAAATTTACACACATTTTGTTAAATTTTCAAGGAGAAGTATATGTGAAAATTAGAACTGCACATAGATTCGAAAAAAAACTTGATAAAACGGCAAAAAGAAAAGTTGATTTTATTGAAAATAGGCTAAATGAATATTACGTTAATCAAAACATTACTAAATTGGACTTCATTAAGTCAGTTCGGAATTATTATGCAGCTAACTTTTAAAATCTAAAATAAAGTGTTCACCTTACTTATTTGAATCACTATAAACATTATAGTCTGACATTAGAATTAAGCATTGTTATTGTTTAACTGTAGTTTTTGTTATTGTATATAAGTTAATGTAGATTTATAAATAAACTTTATTCGATTACTTCTATTGTTATAGTTTCATTATTTAATCATTTAAAATTTTCGCTCATGCTTTGGGAATTGGGTTCCTTTTTGAATACAAGAAATTAAAATAAAAACTATATTATGTTCACAAAAATATTATCTAAGTACGTAGGTAGCGTGGGGCAGTTCGTAGTCGCTTTTAATCCTACTATAAAACTTAACTCATTAAAATCTAGGTAGCGTGGGGCAGTTCGTAGTCGCCGGTTTCGCTACTTCGCACTTTGTTGTTTTGGTAGATGTTTTCGATAGTTTTTATAACATTTAGGGGAACTTCTCTATTATACAGATTTGGAACAGATGATCACCTACAGAGCATTAAAACGGTAATAGAAAAGACTATCGAATACAATCGACCACTCGCCATAGGTACATACAAGAGCGCAACTATGTCGGTGAAACTACATGAAAACACGGATCATATTCTAATTGGTAGAGGAATCCGACAGGGTGATACCTTATCGCCTAAACTGTTTACCGCAGTACTAGAATATGATTGTAAAAAACTTAACTGGGAAGAGAAAGGCCTGAACATTGACGGTAGAAGATTAACAAATTTGAAATTCACAGACGACATAGTTTTGTCCGTGGACAACCTCGAGCAGATATGTACAATGCTACATGAAATTCAGTTAGTGTGTGCCAGTGCGGGTCTTTAAATAAACACTTCCAAAAGAAAATTCATGACAAACCTCGTACCTAACGGAAATATCAATATTGGAGACAACGAAGTGGAGCTAGAGGAAAAATACATATATCTTGGACACGAAATAACGATCACAAGAGGCAACCAAACATGCGAACTATAATAGAAGTATGAAAACTTAGATATCTTTAAAAGTGATATACCAATGTCTTTAAAACGTAAAACATTTGACCAATGTGTGTTGCCTGTTATGACCTATGGTGCTGAAATTTTGGCATTGACGGCTACAAGTTCTAAAACGCTGCAAATAGCTCAGAGGAAAATGGACATGTCGATTCTGAGTATATCGCTTCATGACCGAGTTAGAAATGAAGACTTAAGACGAAAAACAGGAGTTACTGATGTAATTTCCCGAATTGCCACACTGAAATGGAACTGAGCCGGACACGTCGCCCGATTCAATGATGAAAGGTGGACGGAGAGATCGCTTGAGTGGGGGCTGAGGTTAGACAAAAGAAGTAGAGGAAGACCCCCTACTCGTTGGATTGACGATCTCAAGAAAATGTCAAGAAAGTGAATGAAAAGTGCTCAAGAAAGAGTACAATGGACCAGCTCAAAGGACTAAGTGATGATGATTGATTTTTTTTTTCAAAAAAATTCGTAAGAATGTAAACTTACTTTGTATTATTAACCATTTGTATAAATATTGTTTTGTAACCATTTTTACTTTGGCACATGGGGAACGTACATAATACTCTTATGATGGCAGCCGATGTGTTAATTACGTCATTGGACACGATGATTCTATGTTGGTCTATATTTCTAAAATTTTTGTTTAATTCTTTATGTACTGTCTGTTGTATAGTGTCGTTTTACAAGAATTTGATGTCTAGTTTGTCTTGAGGTTTTTGTTAATTTATTAGTGATCTTATGTGCACTTTTACTACAGGTTATGATCGGAATTAATATCAATTCCTAGATGTTTTTGGTTTCCCTAATCTATTTGGTTATCACATGGCACCATTCTGCACACACCTTGATCATCTAAAGCTGGATTTATAGTTTGACGGACTGTAGACGCAGACGCACTAGAAAACGATCAACATAGACCTTTGTGTGTACTCTTTTATAAATAAACGTAAACGCATGACGGGACGTAAACGAAACGCACTGTAACGGAAGAGTTGGTCAACTTTCATCTTTTACAGTGCGTTATTTGCGTCTGGCCAATCAAAAGGAAGAATTTTGTATTGTCAAGAAAAGTGAACTGTTTGGCCCGCCTACCATTTTCTAAATTTGCTTATTAACATATTCGAATTTCGATTTTGTTAATTATTTGTTACAACGGACATAAATGATGTTATAGTATTATAGTCACCAATTCTAGCCACTGTTTCTACTCATGCGCAAAAATTCCACTCCATCGATTTATAAATTGAAATAATATTTACAGTTCGTTTGTTACGTCTCCAGTGCGTGTACGTCTACAGTCCGTCAAACTATAAATCCAGCTTAATATCTATCGGGAACTAGGGGCCGTCTGTGTTTGTGCTATCATTTTGTAGTTTTCTTAGGAAATATTTACCAGAGTGGTTTCCCGTTGCCCCCTCTGGTTTGAATTTTAGCTGTATCTTTGGAGACAGACGCTGTGTTCTACTTTTTGTCCACTCTCTGTACTTCATTTCCTCGGTACCACCTCTATCTGGAAGGCGTTCCCTTATTCACCATCTGAGAAGACGCAAAAATGGAGGCCTAACGAGTGCACAATAATTTTGGCACATTTGTTCTTCGTTCCATACTTCGGATAATTATTTTGTAGATTTAGTATATAATAGCATTACCTCCGTCATTGAAAAGTTCTGCAGGAATGCCGTCGCTTTCTAGACCTGATTTTTTGGAGGCGTTAGATATATAGACAAATGATTGGAAAACGAATAATTTTATTGTATTTTACAAATGTCTACTTTAAATAAAATTACATCAATAATGAATCAGTAACATAAGATGAACATGTAACACTTTTAACGTTTATCCGCTAGTTTACAGTAATTCAACAGTAAAACATTTTCTTTAAAAAGACCGATTAGACTTAGTTATTTGACAGAAATTCTCTTTCTAAGGCGGCACCCATCATATTCCATTCTCCGTCGTCAACATCACCAATTGGCTCTGTACTGTCTTGAGTATCATCCTGTTCATAATCCAACATATCATGTACATTTTCACCTCTCCTAAATTTTACACTAGGTGATTCGTCTTCAGTGCTGTTGTATAGATCGTCTACATTTGGTTCAAACTTCTTTCTCTTGTAGCCTCTAGGGTATTCTCCTGTTAAAGAGTCTTCACTACTGCTGCTGCTTTCATTTGACGTTTTACTAAGAATGTCTGACATCAACTTTTCGCCAAAGTCTTGTTTAATGTCTTCCTCGCTGCTTTCACTGTCGTCGTCTTCCAAAATATCTTCCACCTAAAAAATGTAAACATTAGTGTTGGTAATATTTAACAGAAATTAATTATTTGTAGGTTAAAGAAAACGTACTACTGGAAATATGGAAACTCCCTATGTAACCTGTAGCTATTAAAAATAATTATGTCAGCACAAGCATGTAACAAGTACAACGACGTAATTTTAGCTGTTCATTCCGAGTATCTATAATATTCATAATGACTTCAACAAATGATCAAATCAAATGGATACAAAAATCAACCCCAATTTCATTCCCATAAACATATGAGTTTATAAAAAACTTAAACTAAATATACTAATACACGTTACTTCACAATAATTATTAACAGACTGAATACTGAAAACAATATCAACATGTGAAGTAGGACATAAAGTGTAACAAAACATTCAAATAAAATATATAAACCTGTTTTAAAACAATTGGAATCATGATAAACCATCAAACTAACTCATTCAAGAAGTAGTAAAGAAATCCAGTGGCCTATTACAAATACAATAACTGGAAGTTATCTCTTATAAAACATTTACTATTGATTGATTTACTCATACATTTATGCTTATTTATGTAAAACACATTTCTAATGTTAAAACAATAAAACAAAATAATCTTTAGTTATTATAAACTGATCAACGTATTGTGTATGGTATTCATCATCATCATTGTTGCTGCAGCCCTATAAAAGAGCCTTGACCTTCCCAAGTCTATTACGACAGTCAGTTCTATCAATTTCCAACTGTTGCCAGTTTTCTGCGCCTATTTTTCTACTATCCTCATCTACACCATCCCTCCATCTGAGTTTTGGCCTACCCCTACTTCTACTTCCCACAGGTTGTGACAAGGATTCTTCTAGGAGGGTTGTTCATTTGTTCTCTTATAAAAATAGTCTTCCTATTTTTATAAGAGATACTACGTCTTTACCACCAAATATACAGGGTGAGTCATGAGGAACCTTACATACTTCTACCATATGTAGAGTCCCTCAGGGAGCATATCATGTGGCCACTAAAAAATGTCAACTCCTCTTCTTTATTAATTAACAGGGTGATTTGTGTAATTGACCATTTATTTCATTTTACTGTAGTGTTTATACGGCTCATTTGATTTTTTTAATTTTTGCATGATACAGTACACTACTATCAAGCATTCGACTGGTATTAGCTAAACTAAAAAATTCCAGGACTGGCTTTGGAAAACTTAATTTAGGGATTCGTATTAAATATTACACCCTGTATATATATTTTTTAATGCAATAAGTGATTTTCAAACTGCATAAATAGCCAATGAAAACGACATATGCGACAATGTTGTCGCACTTTTATTAAATTTTTAGTGAACGATCAAATCTTACCAAAAATAGAACAACCATAATGAAGTATCAAATTATAAGGTAATTAATTTAAACAAATGTTATAAATTTCAAACATTTTAATTGAAATGATAAACTGAGTCACTGCACAACAAAAAACAGTAACTACTAACAATAATGAATTTAAAAAAAAACTAAAAATATGTACATAGTTATGATAATCCCATAAATTAGAACTGGAAAAGATACAATAATGGTAACAAAATAAAAATAATTCAAAATAGATTTTCGAAATGGAACCCTGCAGCCTGTACACATTTTTGTTGCCGAATTGTTAATTGACGTATTGAATTACGGATACTCTGGGAATCGTTTCTAATAGTATTACAACAATGTATAATTCTATCAATTAATTGTTGTCGGTTATTAATATTCACTGCGTAAACTAGTTGCTTCAATCGTCCCCAAATATGGTAATCAACGGGATTGAAATCAGGGGATCTTGAAGGCCACGAAATAGGACCTGCACGTCCTATCCACCTGTTGCCATAAACATTATTGAGATGTTGTCTCACTGCCAGTAAAAAGTGTGGGGGTGCCCCATCATGCTGAAAATACATCCCTCGGATAGCAACGTTCGCGTTGGCATGCAAATTCGGCAAAATATTTTGTAGAAAGTTTAAATAGACCTGCCCTGTTAAAGGACCATCAAAAAAGTGAGGACCTACTAATTGGTTATTTATGACACCAATCCACACGATAACCGAAAACCTTAACTGAGAACAACGTTCTCGAATAGCATGGGGATTTTCTTCTGCCCACACATGTGAATTTCGTGAATTATTTATCCCGTCTCTGGTAAATTGGGCTTCATCTGTAAATAGTGTCCTGTATAGCGTTGGTCGATTATTGTTAATCCATCTACAAAATTCCAACCTATCGATCTCATCTCCAGCATGTAGTCGCTGAACCATTTTAATGTGATATGGGTATAGATTATTTTTTTGTAAGACTACTTACTTTTGATTGAGTAACATTGAGTTCTCGACTTACTTGTCTAGTGCTTATTGTAGGGTTCATAGTAACGGCGTCCATAATGTCATCTTTCTGCACTTCATCTACATGTCGCTCTGTTGTTCCACTAGGAAAAGTGCCATTTTCTCGCAAATAATTAAAAACTGACCCAAATGTTGGATGACTGGGAGTTCGACGATTAGGAAATCTCTTGCGATATTCTCTACTAGCAGCCCTACCATTCCCATTACAGAATCCATAAACAAATATTATGTCTGCATATTCTGTGGTCGAAAACTGATGTGGCATTTTGAACAAAAGTAACAAAAGCTCTACCAAAACTAACACAATGTACTTGACGTAGATATGACAGAAGAAATATGTATTCTTGTACACATAAATAGCAATTGATAATGACAATAATGACAATGGGTATAAAATATCAAGAAACGTCAAACGGTCAACGCCAACCTTCATTTTAAACTTTTTTAGATTTATTTTTATTTAGTACAGTTGATGCAATGTATTATGATTTGACATAAAATTTTAATCATTTACAATCAACAAAAACTAACACATACAAGAGGTTCGACTTTTTAATCAATTTAATTTATTATTTATCGAAAATAATGCCCCAATACGATCTATGAGTAAAAATTTAAAATTGAAAAACAATTGATTCTGTCGTAGAGATAATACAAAGTGACACAGTAAAGATGTTAATTTTCTACGTATTAGATTATGTTGTAGGAACTCATTTTAATTAAAATGTTTGAAATTTATAACATTTGTTTAAATTAATACCTTATAATTTGATACTTCATTATGGTTGTTCTATTTTTGGTAAGATTTGATCGTTCACTAAAAATTTAATAAAAGTGCATTTCATTGCAGTGCAGTAACATTGTCGCATATGTCGTTTTCATTGGCTATTTATGCAGTTTGAAAATCACTTATTGCATTTAAAAAAATATATATACAGGGTGTAATATTTAATACGAATCCCTAAATTAATTTTATATAGTAGTGTACCGTATCATGCAAAAATTTAAAAAATCAAATGAGCCGTATATACACTACGGTAAAATGAAATAAATGGTCGATTACACAAATCACCCTGTTAATTAATAAAGAAGAGGAGTTGACATTTTTTAGTGGCCACATGATATGCTCCCTGAGGGACTCTACATATAGTAGAAGTATGTAAAGTTCCTCATGACTCACCCTGTATGTTTATATCTGTGATATATCTCGTAGTTGTACCTCCTTCTCCAAACACCATTTTCACAGATGCCACCGAATATCCTTCTCAGGATCCTTCGTTCAAATATAAGCAAGAGGTTTTCACCTGCCTTGGAAATGGTCCATGTCTCCGATCTACACTGGTTGTGCAAGGGTTTTGTATATGGTTATTTTTGTTTTTTTGGCTTAAGTTTCTGCTTCTCAGATGTCTCAAGAGTTAATGATTTATTTACAGTACCTCAATATTTGAGTTAAAATTTATTTAAAATTATACATTTTTGTGTTATCTTTCATAATATTATGGATTAAACATAACTTGTTCTCCACATTATTGAAAAGGGGAAAAAATCTTGAAAATGTGATTATTTTCTTCATTTTAAAAATTCAATTGACTAGAATATTCTTAAATAGTTGACAATTTGAAAATTCCCCACATTTATTTACTATTCTGATGTTTTGGCAACGCTGTGACGTTCTGATGTAAATCTTGAATGACATAACATTATTTTTGTATTAAAAATATATTTTAATATTACAGTAGACTCCCTCTATAATAGTGAAATTGAAGACTAATTACCTCGTTATAAGCCGATCTTGTTATACAGTGCCTTAAGTTTTGGATTAGGTATACACTCTATAAATGGCAACACTGCGCGTCGTCGACTTGCCACTACATATATGCTTCGTTGACTCGTCGTTGCTCGTCGCCCGTCGGCAAATTTGTCGTATTGTCATTATACCGTGGTTGTTTAAAGGTATAACAGCGTAGAGTTTTAATTTATTTTTGTCACGTCTGTTTATATGGCCGCGGAAAAAGCTCAAATAATAAAATGGTTTTATAGTGGCAATTCTGCGCAACAGTGTGTAGATTTATTTTCTGTGTTTTTTGGGGGAAGACCAATTCCTTGTGTACAGTCAATTTATAATATTGTTAAAAATTTTGAGAGTTGTTATTGCCTCAAAAATTGCAGAAAATGTCACGCTTAAGAAGTGTTACCAGAAAAAGTTGAGGAAAGAGTATACACAAATACACAAATTTGTGCAACAATCGAGGTAGATTCAACACGTTCAAGTAGAAGCGTTGCTAGAGGGTTAGATGTTAGCAAAGAATATAGACGGTTATAGAAGAATCTTTCACTGTTATTTTTGAAAGTTTGCAAGAGATGATCGCACGTTATGAAAAAGAATGAGAGGGTGGATCGAGATTTTAGTACCAGTAGGAAGCGGTCGTGTCGGCGCTATTATTGCTTTTAAAATATGAAAGAGTGGGGCAACAAATGCAACAGATATTTTTATCTAGATACCGCGTGGCCGTAGAATAGGATTAAATTTTTGCGTTTTATAACATTTTTTAAAGAAAATAATAATATTTTAACTTTTAATAAATGAATCCTATTAGAAAAAATATTATGATTCAAAAATATGTACAAATCTACAAATAATATACTTAAAACTCTTTTCTTATTAACTATAAATAAAATTAATTCAATCAATAAAGTCATCAATCACCGGAATTAAATATTTCCAAATTTTCTAAATTTAATAATTTCTTCTTCTTTGTTTTTAATATAAAATAACATAAAATGTAAAACACAACACTGTTTTTCTGCAGAATAATGGAAAATTGGCTAAAAAGTTTAATGAAAAATCCTAAGAAAATTAAATTTTTGGTTGAAAAATTTTGAAATTTTTAAAAAATATTTCGTTAATTTTTGGGTAGAAAAACAGTATAATAAAAATATATATGACGGTTTTTCGTTGTGTTGGAACAAACCTATTTTTAATTCAAAGTTATAAACTGTAAAAAATAAATGCTTTGAATATTGTAAATATCATACCTTTTTAAATTTCAAAATTAAAAATTTAACAATTTAATAGGTATATTAAAAATAAAGATTTTATTGTGAAAAAAAAAACAAAAAAAGCATAGGAATTTTTTTAATCGTAGATGCAAAGTTAAATAAATAGCTCTGTTCGTACTCCTTTCCCACTTTCCCCTAACTGCATCTTTTATGATAGTTTTAAGCCGACTGCCAGATGTGTTTTAAAGTATAAACCGTAACCAAATCGCCCATTTGAACTGTTCTTCTATAAGCGTCTATATTCTTTGATGTTAGCAATGTTACTGTAACGAAAGTATGGAAAAAGCACGGTTACAAGAATTTTAAATATTCGAAAACGCAGCAGCTTTATCCAGACGATTACTTTCGAAGAATGGAGTTTTGTGAAACTCTAATAACGAAGGCTAATAATGAACCAAATTTTATTAAAAACATTTTATTCACTGATGAATCTTCTGTTTCGTTAGTAGGGAGACACAATCCTTCCATTACGAGGTATTGGGCGCGGGAAAACCAGCACAGAAGTGTTGTTTACCGAACTCAACGTCCTCAAAAAGTTAACGTCTGGACTGGCATTTTAGGAGACCACATAATAGGTCCATTTTTTATTGAGGGCAACTTGAATAGTAGAGTATACCTCGATTTGTTACAGAATCATGTTCTTCCCGCTATTCTCAATCTTCCTGATGTAAATCTGGAGAATGTTTGGTTTCATCAAGACGGAAGGCTGTTCAGTTCACAACGCTCGAATTATTAGGGAGTATTTAAACAATACTTTCCTGAATCGAGTTATCAGTGGAACAGGCGATATTAAGTGGCCTGCGCGATCTCCAGATTTTACACCCATGGACTTCTTTTTTTTTTTTTTGGGGACATTTAAAAAGAATTATCTACGATCATCCTGAGGCTAGAGCCCAAAATTTGGATGAATTAAAAAATCGAATAAGAGAAGTCTCCGATTCTGTTACAGCAGAAACTCTTTCATCTGTTCGCAGAAGTTTTTATGACAGATTGGGGTACTGTTCAGCCGTAGAAGGTCAACTATTTGAACCATTTCTGTAGGTCATAAAGAATTATTTTTTATTTTATTAGGAATAATATTTTAATTTTCAATAAGAGTATATTTTTTATTTTATCTTTTTAAAGAAATACGCTTTTATTTTTAATTCAACCACAAAAAAATTTTCACATTAATAAAAATCGATTACAATGCACCGATTAGGTCAGTGCATTTTTATCGAATTTCCTACTATTAAAATCGGCTATACGTAATGAAACATGAGATCGGACGACAGAGAAGTACATCCCAAATGTTGTTGTGAGTTACTAAACTAAAATGATTTTCTGTCGGTGCTGTTTAGCGCTCCGTATAGTGTGCAATACCTAATCAAAAACTTAACGCACTGTATATAATCAAACAACAATAATACTGTGCATGCATATGAATATGTAGTTTTCTAAAACATTAACTTCCTATAGTGAAGCCATTCGGAGCAATATAAGATGCTAAATATTGTTTGAATGGCATTTTTGAAAAAAAAATTGTTTACTTTTATTGTCAATGAAATACATTAATACAAAAAAAGAGTTGTTTACTTTTATTGTCAATGATATTACGTTAAAACAAAAAATCTGTATTCTGTAAATATGTATAAAGCGTATTTTCAAGGATAACATAAACTATTGCTTCTGCAATTGGAAGAAGTCTGTCATTTTTGACTGCTTTAAATTGTCCAGTATTCTATCTATCATATTTTCTAAAGATTTGAAATAGTTGTATGCTTCTTCATTTGCGTTTTGTCTTTGGATAAAGTTTCTTACAACGTTTAAAGCACTTTCCACATCTTGTCTATTAGGACCTTATTATTATTAGGTGCGAATGGTCAATCCCTAACACTTGTGAATTATAACTTGTAAATTTACGAAGAAGTTTATTGCAGGCGGCAGTTAAAAAGGCCGGGTCTATTAATAGCCACGGCCCGAGCAAAAACGTAAAAAAAACACGTTTTTTGATATTATTTTCTCTCGTTATAAACAAATTTGTCTCGCTATAGAGAATTATAGTTTAATAGAAATGTCACGGGACATCTCATGTACCTTGTTATAAGCGAAACCACGTAATAACCGTGTATGTTATAGAAGGAGTATACTGTATTATCATATAATTGTAAATGGATGGATTTGACCATAGATAACATTCGTCTTACTTCATAAATCGCACACATTCTGTACAAACCAGATAGCTTGTACGCCTCTTTGGCCAGTAATGCAGTAGTTACTTATTATTAAACAAGTACCAACATCCCAAGCATTATTCCTTAAGACCAATACGGCCTGTTAATGCAAAACTTGTGTTGATTCTATAGAACTAACGTGGCCTCTTGAACCAACATCAGAGATGATCCCATCGAACCAACATTTCGAAATTTATTTCTTACTATCTAGCTCCTTGATTGAGGTTATGGGTTAAACAAAATTAATTTTAAAAACTGTTCATCACATTATCACGCAAATGACATTATTACACACGACGTTTATTTACAACAAAATTTTAAGAGTTAATTATCAGAAATTTAACGTACCTCATTCTATTCCATGAACTCGTCCGACTTTTCATATTGTAAGTCTTCTCTTTTAGATTCTTCGTTTAGATTAAAAACTAAATTATTATCTGGGCATTCTACCTGATTATCATCGGAATATGCTGAGTGGGGCTCTGCTGTTAAAATATGATTTTCTGCCAATATTAATGTCTTATTTAAATCAGAGCTTTCTTTTGTTACAATATATGTTTCTAAATCCTTTCCAAAAATATATGAATCAATCGGACGCGTTGCTAATATTTTGCGAGCTGAGTCTGTAACTTTAAAAGAAGCTGGATAACGTCTGAACAAAGACATCCCGTGATGAACACATGACTGTAATTTAGCACTATCTGTAAGTATCGAAATGATCTGTTCTGCTTTAACTTCTTCTGGATTTGCTACTAATCTGTTTACCAAGGAACCAATGGCAGTCAAACTTCTACCCAAATTATTTTGTAACTGAGACAACTTATCGTCATTTTTTATATGATGTTTCCTTAGACAAACTTTTACTTGGCTGTTCATTTTCGGAGCTTTTAATTTTTTTGCGATCGGATATTTTTTCCTCAAGTGATGAATTGTCTTTCCATCAACACCGTTTCTTAAATAGGAAGTCCAGTTGACTAGGGCATCCCCATGTTTACCAGATGATAACTGCCTGTCTGAAGACAATTCATAAACATGCTTTTCAACTTTCGCCTGATTACTAACTCCAGTCTCAGGAAAGTCTGCAAACATAAAGTCTATCATTGTCCTGTCTAATTTTACAAATGTAGTTATTAAACGTACATAAATACTTCATTTTTATGCCATCAGATCAACCTACCTCGGTTTATATGTTGTGGATACATTTGAGATTGTGAGTAGCTTCCCTCAGTTATGTTATTCGTATCAGAAATAGTCTTATGTCGTTTATTGGTTTTACAAATATTTTCTTCTATCCTTCTACGTCTAAATTGTACTTTTTTCTAAAAATTTGTCAAATGCTTATCAGTCGGACGAGAAGGCATACAAAGGTAAGTTATATTCTGTTTTTAATAGAGCTTCCTTGTACAGTAAGGATGACCCAAAATTATGTCCTTATAAATTTAGCAAACTACAAATTCTCCTGTAGATGTAAACGAAGAATAAATATAATTTTTATCATTTTAATACAATTATTGTTTTATATAACCAGACTGCTAGAAGGGGTCGTCCTTTCTACTATTAATTATAATTTAGCTATAATAATTCAGTAGGAACGAAGGGATGGTGGAGCAAATATTAATAAGATAAGAGATTTCTTGAAGAAAGATATGCTCTAAGCAATGGGCTTAGAGGATTATCCATTATAAGTCCTGCACTGTTATTTGTATATATTTTATTATTAAATTCAAAGTAGTCCTGGTTTATGCAAACTTTTGCATATCAGATGTGCAAATAACTATGCTATCAGATATTTTTATGGATCATCTAGAGACAAAGATTTCAAAACATCCCGTATTCAAACAGTTTTTATATTGGTGGAGATAAGTAGACGACGCACTGGTATGTTTCACAGGAACAAACAGGCAACTCGACCAACTTTTATCGTATATTAATTCACTTCATAGTCATATTGAATTTACAATAGAAACAGAACAAAATCAATGCATAAATTTTTTAGATTTAAAAATTAGCAGACTTCAAAACAAACATGACTTCTCCATATTTCACAAACCTACCCATACAGACACGACTATACACAATTCATCATCCCATCTAACACAACATAAACTGGCAGCTTATCATAGTATGTTACATAGATTAACAGAAATTCCGATGTCAAAAGACAACTTTGAGACAGAATTAAATATAATTAAGCAAATAGCAGTAAATAACGGATACAACGAACAAACAATTAATAAAATGTTAAATCAAAAACTACACAAGAAAGCCCTGAAATTAGTATTTCCACCACCAGAGAAAAAACCCAGTATCTTATGCTCGATTACATATACAGGCAAAATAACAACAAAAATTGCCAAACACATAAAAAAGAAAGGAATAACACCAGCTTTCTGAACAAATAACAACCTAGGTAAATATATTAAAAATAACAAGAGCCAAAATAAAAAACACTTAAATAGTGGTGTGTACAAACTTCAATGTGGCGACTGCCCAAAAACTTACATCGGTCACACTGGTAGAAACTTTGATAAACGAATAGCAGAACATAAAAGGGCTTTCAAGAATAGAAAAACAGATTCGACATACGCACTTCACCGTCTAGATCATAATCATTCGTTTAATGACAAATTTAAAATTCTTCACATTCAAAATAAAGGCCTTAAGCTATCTTTGTTAGAATCTATGGAAATCAACAAATTAAAAAACACAGATATAAGTCTGAATGACCAACTTGAGACAAAAAGTTCTCCCCTCCTCAACCTATTTCATTAGAGACTATAAATTTGTAAACCCAAGCCAAAAATAGATCACTTGAGAAAGCTATCAGCCGAAACAGCTGTAGTGATAATATTTAAAATAAATTTTGTGGAAGTTTGAAAACAAAGTTTTCAGTGTTTTATTGTTACATAAAATGAATTTCCATCAAGTAACGGTCGAATCCATCAATTATGGGTTTTATTATTTCAGCAATTATTTAACTTTGTATCAAGACCTGAAGATGCTTTGCATATGGTAGAAAGCGAAACCGGTCGTCTGAATAGTTAAATTAAATTGATTGTAAGTCTTATTTATTATCTCTTTACCTATTAGTAACAGAATAGTGCAAAGATCCCAATCAGAGCGTGGCAAGTCGGCCCAAATGAGATCCGATATCGAAAACTTGATAAATGCCTGTGCTCAGGAAGTGTGGGATGCTTTGAGTAATACCAACAATGCTCTAGCGAGAAGAGCAGCTGAAACGTTAGAAATCAAAAGTAAATTACAAATGCAATTACACTTAAAATAATCTGCTATGCGGACGACGCAATACTACTCTCTTAAAGTGAAGATGATTTACAACATATGCTGCACCAGATTAATATAACCGCCAGAAAATTTAACAGTTGTAAATTGGAGCTGGAAGGTCAGATAATAGAACAAGTGATGGAGTTTAAATATCTAGGCATCACATTGTATAGCTACGGAAAGCTTGAAACCGAAATGGAAGATCAAGTGAATAGAGCAAACAGAGCCGCAGGTTGCCTAAATGAAACAATATGGAAATAAAAATATCGGGAAAGAAACGAAAGGCAGAATTTACAAAACAGTCATCAGACCAATAATGATATACGCGGCAGAAACAAAACCTGACCTTTTGTCCAGAGAGGAAAAAAATGATGTTAGAAATAGCAGAGATGAAAACACTTAGAAAAATTGATGGTAAGACACTATGGGATAGAGCTAGAAGTACATACAGTGCGTTAAGTTTTTGATTAGGTATTGCACACTATACGGAGCGCTAAAATCGGCAACGTTGCAAATGTTCGTTCTCCGACCCGAAAATCTACACCGACAGAAAATCATTTTATTTTAGTTTAGTAACTCACAACAACGTTAGGGATGTACTTCTCTGTCGTCCGATCTCATGTTTCATTACGTAAAGCCGATTTTAATAGTAGGAAATTCGATAAAAATATGCACCTAATCGGTGCATTGTTATCGATTTTTATTAATGTGAAAATTTTTTTGTGGTTGAATTAAAAATAAAAGCGTATTTCTTTAAAAAGATAAAATAAAAAACATACTCTTATTGAAAATTAAAATATTATTCCTAATAAAATAAAAAATAATTCTTTATGACCTACAGAAATGGTTCAAATAGTTGACCTTCTACGACTGAACAGCACCCCAATCTGTCATAAAAATTTCTGCGAACAGATGAAAGAGTTTCTGCTGTAACAGAATTGGAGACTTCTCTTATTCGATTTTTTAATTCATCCAAATTTTGGGCTCTAGCCTCAGGATGCGCGTAGATAATGCTTTTTAAATGTCCCCAAAAAAAGAAGTCCATGGGTGTAAGATCTGGAGATCGCGCAGGCCAGATAATATCGCTTGTTCCACTGATAACTCGATTCGGGAAAGTATTGTTTAAATACTCCCTAATAATTCGAGCGTTGTGAACTGAACAGCCGTCTTGATGAAACCAAACATTCTCCAGATTTACATCAGGAAGATTGAGAATAGCGGGAAGAACATGATTCTGTAACAAATCGAGTATATTCAAGTTGCCCTCAATAAAAAATGGACCTATTATGTGGTCTCCTAAAATGCCAGTCCAGGCGTTAACTTTTTGAGGACGTTGAGTTCGGTAAACAACACTTCTGTGCTGGTTTTTCCGCGCCCAATACCTCGTAATGGAAGGATTGTGTCTCCCTACTAACGAAACAGAAGATTCATCAGTGAATAAAATGTTTTTAATAAAATTTGGTTCACTATTAGCCTTCGTTATTAGAGTTTCACAAAACTCCATTCTTCGAAAGTAATCGTCTGGATAAAGCTGCTGCGTTTTCGAATATTTAAAATTCTTGTAACCGTGCTTTTTCCATACTTTCGTTACAGTAACATTGCTAACATCTAACTCTCTAGCAACGCTTCTACTTGAACGTGTTGAATCTACCTCGATTGTTGCACAAATTTGTGTATCCCGGTATTCTTTCCTCAACTTTTTCTGGTAACACTTCTCGAGCGTTACATTTTCTGCAATTTTTGAGGCAATAACAACTCTCAAAATTTTTAACAATATTATAAATTGACTGTACACAAGGAATTGGTCTTCCCTCAAAAAACACAGAAAATAAATCTACACACTGTTGCGCAGAATTGCCACTATAAAACCATTTTATTATTTGAGCTTTTTCCGCGGCCATATAAACAGACATGTTTACAAAAATAAATTAAAACTCTACGCTGTTATACCTTTAAACAACCACGGTATAATGACAATATGACAAATTTGCCGACCGGCGACGTGCAACGACGAGTCAACGAAGCAGATATGTCGACGACGCGCAGTGTTGCCATTTATAGAGTGTATACCTAATCCAAAACTTAACGCACTGTATATACGACGTAGATGCAAGGTAAAGAACATCAAGAACTAGGTAAGAAATGGAAGAGTAGAATGGAACGATCATATAAGCCATAACAAATAGAGTAGTAAAGACAGCAAGAGACGGTTCCCCAATAGGAAGAAGATCAGTAGGAAGACCACGAAAACGATTGAACAACTGACTGGAGGCACAATGAAAAACAGACAAAACATGTCTATATAAAAAGAAGAAGAAGACGAAGAGAGTTTGCTTCCCTATCAAATGCCGTCCAATTACTCAAACAAAAACCAAAGTAAGTATGTAATTGCTATATTTTAAGTGCATGATGCAGTCTATAGTCGGACAATTTTCAATTAAAGGTGACTAATCTACAAATTGAACTAAACGGTAGCGGCAACTATGAAAAATTTCATTAGTAAATTCTTACCGGGGTCATTTTTATTCTGTATGCTTCGCCCATGTAAATATGTAAATTTGTAACCCATCTAAGATAAATTTGCCCCCGTAACAGTATAAATTGGTGCGATTCACGAGTGTATAGTGAGACAAGTTCATAGAATAGTTTGGAACATCGGTAAAATTATCAATATTTTGTTGGTCTATATATATTTACGTTTTTAGAAAGAATGTTAATTAGAGAAATATGATATCTTAGCTCATTGAAGTTTATGAAATATGATATCTTCCAGATTTTATACAATGTACATAGGCGTAGTGTATTATTGGGAATATATTTATTAAATATACTTTATTATTAACTTTAAAATAGTTTTGACGTAAGTAAAGTAAATTTAAGGCCAGTTTATTCTTTATATAGTATTAAACCCTTAACGGCCGCTCAATATACAAAGAGAAATTTGACAATTAATTTATTAGATTGGATTAAAAACACAAATTAGGAATAAATTACAACCAGAAAGATTTTTTTTCTCATTTTTAAGGAAAACAGTACAATTTTTAATAAAGGAACATATTATATCTTAAACGTAAATTAAATTTTAAGGTAAAAATTTTCGAAATATTCGGGATGTAGATGCATTCTACACTTTTTAGATAAATAAATAGTATTACTTTTGTACATCCTACATTTTTGCACTATCGTCTCTTTTTATAATGTGGCCAATATTGTCGAATCTGGTTTCATCTGGTAAAGCAAATTTAGATTGACGCCCATGTACTGACACTGATGTAGCGGTTTCTTCACTATTATAAATTAAAATTATAAATCTATGTCGGCTCATGCTTTCTCTTATAGTATGCACTTCTTTATCCTCATCCTTTGACCAATGCATATCAACTTGAAGCAGAGTGTAAACCAGATAATATACATATGTTAATAATTTTTTTAAATCTATGTTATTCATTTCAAAATTGTGACGGTTATTCTCAATTACTTTTTTATCAAAAAGAGTGAAAAAACTTCAATATATGACTTGCCTAAATGGTTGGCTTTTATATTGTCTAAATATCAAACAGACTGAAGTTGAATTACTACGGAGCACGAAAGAATATCCGTTATTATAACTTGAGATAAATTTGGATTTACTATTTTTGCCTTATTTTTACTTATTGGTTTTTTCTTTGGACGTTTTATCTGTGGTTCAGAGGAATATCATAATTAGAATCGTTAGAATTCCCAATCATTTGTATTTCATATGTACCTGCAATATCCGGTTTTATTGATTCTTCACAAATAATATTATCATCAATATCTTCAAGAAATACAATAATATACCAGCAAACGAATGGGAAAGATACCTGACGGAACTGTTTAAAGCAAAGGAAAATAATAATCAACACAATAACGTACCTGAACTAAGAGACGAAATAGAAATCAGTTTTCACGAAGTAGAAATAGTCATAAATTCACTCAAAAATAGAAAGTCACCAGGACCAGACGGAATAACCAACGAGCTTCTAAAATACGGATGAGAAAGTTTAAGCCTAGAGATGACAAAATTTATACAAAAACTAATATTGCACTGCAAGATACCAGACGCATGGAGAAACAGCATAATGATACCAATGGTCAAGAAAGGAGATAAAGAAGACCCCAACATTTATAGAGTTATAAATCTACTGAACACCGCACTTAAGCTTACCACAAAAGTCCTAACCAACAAAATCAATAAACTAACAACTTTATCAGATGAACAACAAGGATTCAGATCCGGATGATCCTGCGTAGACGCCGTATTTGTACTAAGACAAATCACAGAAAAGGCCATCATATCTATGTTTTATAGACCTGACAAAGGCTTTCGATCGCATCCAAGTCGCAGACGTCTTACACCTACTGTATAAAAGGAACATACCAATCAATATTATACAAACCATCGAAAGCATCTACCTCCATAATCCAATACAAACAAAGATAAATGGAAAACTAACACAGTGTATACCGGTACAAAGCGGAGACAGGGTGACTCGTTAAGCCCACTTCTCTTTAATATATTAATGGACGAAATAATACAAGTAGTACGTAAAAGTCATGGCTACAGAATTGGGAACAAAGAAATCCAAATATTATGTTATGCAGACGACGCCGCATTAATCGCCGAGACAGAAGATGAGCTCTAAAGATTAACACATATCTTCAATACAACAGCTAAGAAATACAATATGATAATATCAGCGGAAAAATACAAATGTATGACATTTAAATACCCACTACGGTGTAAAATCGAAATTGATGGGAAAATAATAAAGCCGGAAGCAAGGGTTAGATATCTGGGAATAGATATAACTAGTTACGGAGATGTTGAAGGAGAAGTACGACAGCAAAGCTTAAAAGAAGGTAAAGCGGCGGGTTCTCTTAATGACACAATCTGGAAGAACAAACACCTAAGACAAGACACAAAAACAAGAATCTATAAAGCAGGAATTAGACCTATATACACGGCTGAGACAAGACCTGACACATCTAAAACGAGACGACTGCTAGAAACAACAGAGATGAAAATACTCCGACGAATATCAAGGAGAAGTCTGTTGGATAGGGAGAGAAGCAAAAACATAAGAAGAGCATGCAATATAGAAGACATAAATGGATGGGTGACAAAACGAAAACAAAAGTGGAACAAACACATCAGTAGAATGGCGGAGGATAGAATAGCACGAATAGCACGAGATAAGTCACCAAATGGACGAAGAAGTATTGGCAGACCAAGAAAAAGATGTTGCGACAATTTGAACAATTTAGGAAGCTAATATTGAAGAAGAAACAGGCTTTAAAGCCTACAAACTAGAAGGAAGAAGAAGAAGAAGATCAATGTCTTCTACATCAGAAACTTTCTAATCTAATCTCGGCGGCAAATAAACCACATTAAGTGGCATTTTCACAATCTGAGTCTTCTTCTAACAAAGCTATTAACTCTTTAGTAGTTAGTGCCATCTTCATTTCATATTTCGAGAAATTACTGAAATAAACAAATGCACTGCTATATAAACACATTCATATGATAATAGTTTAGCTTACTTCATTTTAATTTATATGAACTTCATAATATATTTTCATATTTATATAACCAAATAAACACAAGCAAACTTTCAAATTAAGTTAAAAAAAACAAATATAACGTTTACAGCACACAGTAATTCTATAAATAGAGAATAATGTGTAATGATGTGTAATTAAAATTGCAGATTGTTTTTAGTCTAATGAAAAAAAAAATATTTTCCAAAGTTTTCTGTTTTTGGAAGTTCTGTATTAGATACTCTCTAATAAGAATAAAATTTTATTTTATTTTGTTAGACAACTATAAGATACCTGTTAAAAGAGACATGATAATTTAATAATTAAATCGGTCTTAGATTTAATTTTTACGTAATTACTTATGTGTTTAAATAAATAATTAAAAAATTTTTTGGTACGTCTCTGCAAAATTGATAATTTCAATACGATTTCGTTGAAAAGTTATCGTTAAGGGCTTCGTTAAGTACGATGTTGCCAAGTAATCACCTTCAATTAAAAATTGTTTTAGTATATCTATGAATAAACCATTTTTCATTTTATAAACCTTCTAGTTAATATTGTGATATAAGTTTTCAGTTTGAACGCAGAAAGTTAAATAAGCAACTAGAAACTATATTTACCTCTTTATCCATATCAGCAATGTCATCACTTGAAAATGACATTAAGGGATTAATTGTATCCATAAATTTTCCACTGGGTGTTCTCTTTCTGGTATCAGGCATCCCGTGTTCAGGGTAAGAAGTTATATGTTCGGGACTACTGCAATGCGGGGGCGGATGCCTATTTTTTGAACCTTTGCTATTTAAAGGAAATATTCTCTCGTCGACGTGTTCCCACCTTTCTGCACAACACCATAACCAATCTGGCGTTACAATTTTCAACTTTTTCTTCCGGCGACCAGAGTTAACTTTAGCTGTACCTGGCCTTACAGCCACTAGATGTGTCGTGGTATCCTCGATGTCTTGAGTAACAACAGCTCCAAGTCCTCTAGCGACTAGATACGCTTTTGATTGCTCTAAATTAATATGAGTGGGTACCAAACCACTAAAAACTAGCCTACAACCTTCTAAAATATTGCTTCGCACTGTAGGAATGACTTGTTTAAGATCAGGTACTTCTCCAGCTTCAAGCTCGTCGTATTGCTTATAGAACTCTTGGTGAATATGTTTTAAAATTTCTTCAAGGTAAATTAGATAATCATCTGGATCGTCTATATCGATCAATTCTTCAGGTTTATCTGATTTATCTTTTTTGTTTTCTTTATCCGAAATTTTATTTTCACTGTTGCTTTCTGTTTCATTATTTTTTGGTTCTTCTGGTTTTGTTTTAGTTATTTCAGAGTTTTCATTCATATTTTCGTCTGCCACGTTTTCGTTGTTTTTATTTTCTACATCTTTTTCGTCATCTTTGTTGTTTACAGGTTGTTTATCTGCTTCTTGTTTTTTATTTTCTCCATCAACCGTTTCTTGATTTTCTGTTTCGCATTGGGAGTTTTCTAATTCATCCTGATTTGCGTTTTCCTAAAAAAATATTTGGTTATCTACACTCGCTAGCAAAAAATTGACTGAACAGTAAGTTCGCTTATTTCTAAGTGTTGTACCACATATATTTGAAGTATGAAATAAAATGCTAATAATAGAGATAACTTTTATTACAATCAAACCGGTAATAATAAAATTAATTACCTAAATACTTTTTAAAAAGTTAAAACTTAATCTAAGAAATTAGAAATTGGAAATGTGAATTCATAGACGAATGCTGAAGATACCTTGGACAGCAAGGAAAACTAATGAAGAAGTACTAAGGAGCATCAACAAAGATAGAGAACTATTTCTATAGAACTATAGAGATAGGAACTAGGACGACAGAAATCACCTTTTATTTAGCAATCAATCAGGTTTTCGTAGAAATCATTCATATGGGACAGCATTGCAATTAACCATAAGCAGCGTTAAGGCAGAGGTCGACCGCGATAAATATGTAGTAGCAGTATTCTTTGACTTAAAGAGATCATTGACAGAATTATCTTACTAAATTAATGAGATTTTATCCATACTACCTCTGAAACCAGCCTGGTATTTTCCTACTATCCTTTCTGCATATGGTGCCATACAGTGACATAGTACTGTGGAAAATATTTTATATGCTGCATTTAGAAGCGTAATTCCTCTGTGGTTAGAACATTCAAAGATCTTCTTTTGTTGTGTATGATGCAAAGTATTCCAATATTCCAATCATTGAGGGGGATTTCTGTGTCCTTATTTCTTTTTTAAGCTGCTGTAATGCTATTGTGGTATCATGACCAACTTCTTTATACAGTTCAGCTGGGAGATTATCTATTGGGGGTGATTTGTTTCTGGTTAGTTTTTTAATTGCATCTTTAGCTTTAAGAATCGTTGGTGGTTCCTCTTCCCTCTCGTCTGTTCCCATTACCTCACCGGTAATAACTTATAATGTATTCTGTCCATAATTGTATATTTTAATGTGTGTTATAAATGTTGAGTGGCAATGCTTATATAAATAATCTCAACGACTATGTCTTGAAAAAGGAATAAAACCATTCAGAAAGCTCGACAAAAAGTCAAAAGAGTATTTTTTTAACATCCCGGCCAATATTCTGACTGCAACCCTAATAAACTGTGTTGTGTATATATATATATTGAAATGATTTCAATATGTCAAAGAGGATATAACTTAAAGGGATTTTTATATGAGTTTGTTGTTCATGAATTTCATGAAGCCATCACAATGTGGGGTCGACTCTGAAATAAAAGGGAGAAAAGATTAGTAAATTGCTAAATAAATTAATTTTGACTTACCTGGTATAGTGTTAATAATTTCTGAATAGTATAGTTGCCTAGTGTATAGGTGAATCGTCTAAACCTTAAAAGGAATAAAAAAAGAAGAATTCTTAAAAAATTATTTAAACATAGAAATTTTAAAAATAAACGTCAGAAAAATAAACTGTCAAAAGTCTGTGGGAACTAAATTAATAGGGGTTTTGTTAAATAAATTACAATGATGTGGAGATGAAAAGAATAAATTATATTAGTATTGTTAAGTTTTATATCTGAATTTTTTTTTTAAATTCCCAAATTAGATGTGATTAAAGTGCTTATGAGAAATTAATGTGGTTTGACAAATATGTCAAAACAGGACAGTTTTATGGTTGAATAAAATAGAAGACGGAATGAAAAAAGAAAGTGGGTTGCGGTTAGCAACGAATAGTTTTGTTGGTTGGTGCTAGCTATGGCGGTTAACAAGGAAGAATAGGTTGTTGGAGGCGACGAAAATTTTGGAGGAAGAGCCCTAAAAAGGTGGAATAGTCCGGGAGTGCTTTAAAATCGTTTAATTATAATTTAGTTTTTCCACATTTTCAAATAGAGATATCCAGAATTTGTTCCAGAGAGTAAGAGAAATTTTGACTTATAAATTATAATTGGAGTGCAGAAATGTCATTTAGATTGAAAAAGTAAAAATTCATGAATTAACTAATTGCGATAGGCCTTAAAAATTGAAATATTAATGATCATTAAAATAAAAATATAATAGTACGTACCTTTAACTTCCGAAGAGAGGATAGATATTCCAGTATCACCGATTATTTTGCGAGTAGTTAGTTTTCTTTAAAAAAAAAAAATCAGAACTGTTTGAAAGTGAGTTTGGATAATAATTTTGGGGATCATTTGAAATTTTGATTATATTTTAATGCTAGTTATAAGTCAGCGGCATAAAGTGTTCAGTTTTCTTTTCTTTATATTTCATTTAAACACTTTATAAAGTTGCAATAGTCATTTAGATTTAAGGTAATTGTAGAGAGTTTCCACATTTTGTAATCAAATTCTATTTTCACGACACATTAAGGTTTACACGATTCCTATTTTTGTAAATTTTTAAAGGCAACCCAAGTTGCAGACTAATTTTATTGTTTATATTAAATTTGTTCAATATTAATAAATAACGTGCTTCATTTGGGTTAATTTATCAAAAATATAAAGTAAATTTTGGTTTAATTTCTTTTTGAACTCTACCAGGAGACTACAGAGTTGACGTCACACAGTGACAGATTGCTTAGAACAAATAATTGAGCTAGCCGAGGTATAGTATATTAACAACGAACTACATACTTTTAAAATTCACTTCAATTCAATTAAAATTATATTTATTAACAATAAAACATAAAAATAATAAAAACAAAACTATTACAATTGGCGCTAACAACGTGGAGCCTCTGGGAAAACAGAAATAAGGGTGTTTTTTTTTTTAAGCAGATTTATTAATAATACACAGATTAAAATAAAAACAAATTGGTGTGATTAGAGTTGTAGAGATTCTGGGGTAGTTAAAGTTAAATTTGAGAATAAATAGAGATTAGGATAAAATGGCAGACCGAATGACTTTAAGAAATGGAAAAGAAATCGTACCGAAAGAGAGTGAAGGAGAACAGGTGTTAGAACAGGAACAGGGTATACAGGTAGATGAAGAAAGCAGAGGAGGATCAGGAGAATTTGTAGTACAATATTTAGAGCAAGGCAGACAAGAAGCAGGACAAGGTGATAGAGAGGGAAGTCTAACAGATAGTTTGAGAGAGGAGTTGGATGAGACAGTGAGAGATAGACGTGATGAAAGTGTGGATGAATGTAGAGTGCAGGAGGAGAGACGTAGGGAAGGAGATGTTGGAGAGTCAGGGATGACACAGATGGATATGAGGCAAATAATGCGGATGTTACAACAGATGGATCATAATATTAGGGGAGATATGCACAAAATGGATAGTAATATTAACAATATTAGGGGGGATATGAACAAAATGGAAAATAATATTAAAGGAGAACTTAGGGAAGAGTTAATTAAAATGAGGGAAGAAATCAAAGAAGAAGTGAAGATAGTCAGGGAAGAGATGCTACAAATTACCCAAGGTTTAGAAGAGAAAGTAGAACAGGTCAGAGGAGAAAGTGAGAATTTTAAGAGGAATGTACAGGAGGAGATATCCAGAGAAAAGGCCATAATTAGAGCGGAAATAGGACAGGAAATTGGGAGCAGATTTGTAGAGTTGGGAACAGCCATTAAAGAGAATTTACCAATGGAAATAAACAAAGAAGTTAATAAGCAGAATAAAGAGATTGTTAGGGAGGTAGAAAGTGTTAAAAGGCAAACTCAGGATTATGAGGAAAAAATTACCATTATAAAAAATAATATAAAGAAGGGATTGCAGAATTTGGAACTGGAAATGGGTATGCATGCAAATCAGGCGGAAAAGGGAGATAGAGTATTACAGGGACAAGTTGAGGAATTGAGAGAGAAATTTAAAAATGCAAGTGAGGAGATTCAGCGTTTGGAATCAAATCTAGGACAAACAAGAGTAGTGAGTACTGTGGTGCCGAGTTATAATGATGGGGGAATAAAGTTTGATGGAAACCTGAATCACTTACATCCTAGAATATTTGTAGATATCATCAAAAATAAGGTAAAGAATGTAAGGGATCCAATAGAAATGAAATTGAATATTCGAAACATGTTAGTGGGCATGCCATTATTATGGTTTTGCAATAATGAAAATTCCATAAATAATGTGCAGGAATTTGAGGCCAAGTTTATTAACTATTTTTGGGGAGAAAACCAACAGGCTAGTTTCAGGGAGCGGTTGTATTTTGGGAAATTCAATTATGAAAAAAGTACCAACTACAATCTGTACGCAATGCAGTTATTCCAGACAGCACAATATTTAGAACCGGCTATGCGAGAAGAGGAGATTGTCCTATACATTGCCAGGCAATATAACCATAACATGGCAGAAACAATAGCTCTCCACAATATAAAGACGATGGAAAGTTTGACAGGATATCTTCAGAGGATTGAGAGGAGTGTAGGGACGCAGAATCGAAATGGACAAGAGCAAGTGACATATAGGAATAACACAGCAAATAGACAGGGATATGTGAATCGAGGGAATAATTATAGGGAAAGAGAATTTGAGAGACAAAATAGAAGCAGGGATTTTACAAATAGGGGAGAGAATTTGAACAATGTCAGGAGAGATATCGGACGATATAACTGGGAACGTAGACAAGGGAATCCAAACAATGATAGAGAGAATAACTGGAGACAAGGGAATGACAGAGGCAATAATTGGAGACAGAACCAGGGAAATTATCCACAGGAGACGAGAAATAGGGAAGTTTACAGAGAAGGGAATCCAAGATATAATAGGGGGAAAATGAGGAGAGAAGACAGGTGAATGTAGTTAGAACAGAGGAGAATAGGGGGGAAGCAAGTGTTGATGCAGAAGGGAGAAATTTTGCTTAGACCGCTCCTATGTGCATAATATTGTCTACTTATCAAAGTATGAACATCCAAGGGAGTTTATTAGAGATACTGGGGAATTAAATAAAAACAATAACACTAATACTTTAAAGTTTATTGAAGGGTACATACAAGATTCAGTATACAAGTTATTATTATAGATACAGGTTCAGAAGTAACTCTAATCAACAAAAACATTGTAAATAATTTAAATAATGCAATATTATGACACGAATTTTATATTATTAGATATAAGTTTTGTAAATAGAAGGATAATTAATACATAAGCATATCTTGAGATAAATTTGATAAAAACATGACTCAAATAATTTATTGGGAACAGATGTACAGAATAATGATGAATTTATATATAAAAAAAAAAGAGGTTGATTTATTTTCAAGTAAATTTATAGGAGTTACAAGTATAAATAAATGAGCAAAGTACTATGGACAAATCGATATTTTGTAGAAATTGGGAAATAGGGAATATTATAATGATAAATAGTATATGTGAAAATATGTGGGAAATAAGATGAAAAATAGAATTATAGGAAATATTGAAATATGAAATATAGAGAGTTATATGTAGAGATGATGAAATGGATATTATATGCGGATACAAAAAGAATAAATAATAATGCGGCAATGAATAAAGATACTGAAATAGTATATGCGGAAATAAATGAATAAAGATATAAAATAAAGAGGGGAACAATTATAAGAATTTCTACGAAATTAGTACGAGAAATAAATAGTACAGGAAAAGAAGTAATGAAATTGGGAAAGTACTTGGAAATTTGATTCTGAAGTTGATATAATTAGTGAAAGATTTGTAGATTTTGTTTGGAGAAGTCTGTATTTTTCATAGAGTAAATTATTAAAAAAAAAAATATTCAAGAGATATGCTTATTAATAAAAGTCAGTTTATTGTTATGTTAATATTAATAAAATGTTTAAGTTTATCGGTAAGAATTTAGATTTAGTAAGTGCTGATAGTTAGCACTGAACAAAATCCAAATTGGGGGGAAGTTGAAATGATTTCAATATGTCAAAGAGGATATAACTTAAAGGGATTTTTATATGAGTTTGTTGTTCATGAATTTCATGAAGCCATCACAATGTGGGGTCGACTCTGAAATAAAAGGGAGAAAAGATTAGTAAATTGCTAAATAAATTAATTTTGACTTACCTGGTATAGTGTTAATAATTTCTGAATAGTATAGTTGCCTAGTGTATAGGTGAATCGTCTAAACCTTAAAAGGAATAAAAAAAGAAGAATTCTTAAAAAATTATTTAAACATAGAAATTTTAAAAATAAACGTCAGAAAAATAAACTGTCAAAAGTCTGTGGGAACTAAATTAATAGGGGTTTTGTTAAATAAATTACAATGATGTGGAGATGAAAAGAATAAATTATATTAGTATTGTTAAGTTTTATATCTGAATTTTTTTTTAAATTCCCAAATTAGATGTGATTAAAGTGCTTATGAGAAATTAATGTGGTTTGACAAATATGTCAAAACAGGACAGTTTTATGGTTGAATAAAATAGAAGACGGAATGAAAAAAGAAAGTGGGTTGCGGTTAGCAACGAATAGTTTTGTTGGTTGGTGCTAGCTATGGCGGTTAACAAGGAAGAATAGGTTGTTGGAGGCGACGAAAATTTTGGAGGAAGAGCCCTAAAAAGGTGGAATAGTCCGGGAGTGCTTTAAAATCGTTTAATTATAATTTAGTTTTTCCACATTTTCAAATAGAGATATCCAGAATTTGTTCCAGAGAGTAAGAGAAATTTTGACTTATAAATTATAATTGGAGTGCAGAAATGTCATTTAGATTGAAAAAGTAAAAATTCATGAATTAACTAATTGCGATAGGCCTTAAAAATTGAAATATTAATGATCATTAAAATAAAAATATAATAGTACGTACCTTTAACTTCCGAAGAGAGGATAGATATTCCAGTATCACCGATTATTTTGCGAGTAGTTAGTTTTCTTTAAAAAAAAAAAATCAGAACTGTTTGAAAGTGAGTTTGGATAATAATTTTGGGGATCATTTGAAATTTTGATTATATTTTAATGCTAGTTATAAGTCAGCGGCATAAAGTGTTCAGTTTTCTTTTCTTTATATTTCATTTAAACACTTTATAAAGTTGCAATAGTCATTTAGATTTAAGGTAATTGTAGAGAGTTTCCACATTTTGTAATCAAATTCTATTTTCACGACACATTAAGGTTTACACGATTCCTATTTTTGTAAATTTTTAAAGGCAACCCAAGTTGCAGACTAATTTTATTGTTTATATTAAATTTGTTCAATATTAATAAATAACGTGCTTCATTTGGGTTAATTTATCAAAAATATAAAGTAAATTTTGGTTTAATTTCTTTTTGAACTCTACCAGGAGACTACAGAGTTGACGTCACACAGTGACAGATTGCTTAGAACAAATAATTGAGCTAGCCGAGGTATAGTATATTAACAACGAACTACATACTTTTAAAATTCACTTCAATTCAATTAAAATTATATTTATTAACAATAAAACATAAAAATAATAAAACACAACTATAACAATATATGTATATATATATATATATATATATATATATATATATATATATATATATATATATATATATATGAACGCTATATGACTCATTGCCCTAATTCCCTAATTTGTTACCATTACATAGGTACTGAAATCTGTATATTTCTCCTACTACAAAAATGATTTAAGCCTTTCATACAAGGGATAACCAAGTTGTGCTATACTAAAACATTGTCCTTTTAATGAATAATGCCTAATCCTAAAATAAACGCTCTATATATCTTAAGTCTAATATATTTTTCATTACCTCTACTTTGGATTTTTTATCTTCTTCCGAATTACCATTATCAGTTACTGTCTTATCTTCCTTATCTTCTGGATTAGTTTCAACATCTCTTGAGCCGTTATCATTTTCTTCACTGGTAACTTTTGTGTTATTCTTTTTAGTACTAACTTTCGTTAAATCAATTCCTTTGACTAATTTATCATTTTCGTGTTTATCTAATCCTGGCGGAGCATTAATATCTCCTGTGTGTTGAAAAAAATGATATGGTTTAACATGGATTAAATTTGTAGCATGTGACCAGACATCTTCCCTATCATCTATAATACATACCATGTTATCACCACAGGGAAATAGTGCCCTAAAATATTTGAAGAGTTATAACTTTTATTGATCGGATAAGAAAAAATATTTTCATAGTACTAAGGTTGTGTAATAAGTTCTATCTCGCCCAGAGATCATAACATTGATTGCATGATGTATCTCTTACATTGCTTGCATGATGTATCTCTTACATTGGTACACATTTTAGCAAACACTTCAAATTACACCACATTCCTGGCACCAGTTGATACAGGAAAAAATTAACTATCATACAGGAAAATATCGTCCAAAAAAGCTAGAACCGCGCCGGAATCATCGACAAAATAACTGGTATTTCTCAAAACACATTGATTAGAAATCAGCTGTTTCTACTCTGTATCACATATCCTGTCCATCTTAGTCTATTTGCTTTTTTATATCTCACTAATTCTCCTTTCGAAAGAGATACTCTAATTCATTGTTGTGTGTGCTCCTACATTCAAGTCCATGTTTTGCTTTCCTGCGTGACTGTTCTCGTAAATCCTCAATTATCTATGCAGCAATAATTCAACCAGCTGCAAAATCAAAATCAAACTCACTCCAACAACAGCTATGAAAGCTCTACTAGGCCTATCTCACTTGCATTTGATAATTCAAGGAGAGATAAGATTTTCAGCCTACAGACTAAAATAATCACTGAATCTTCACAATGGGGAACAGGGCATATGAGTATCACAAGGACTGTGAGGAATAACATCTTTAATGTAGAATCAGATCTCATGACAAAAAGATACAATTTTGAAAATTCAAAAAGTAGCGAAAAAGCTCTTCCTTGGGGAGGAATTGCCCCATTTTCCAAGCAGAGATTTATGTGATTCTGTGAAAAGAGCAAATCTATATATTTTCTGACAGTCATGCGGCCCTGTGGGTCAGGAAGTGACATTCAGATTGGTGTGGGTCTACATCATAAACTGAATGAACTCAGAGATCAGAACAAGGTAATAAAAAAGCAGATTAACTTGCTAAAAAAGGATTGAATTAATCAAACGGACCAGCTGTGACCCTGAGAGCACCAAAGGCTGCAGTTTCCGTAAAACTGTAGAGGACTGGATCTGAAAAAGTCATAAGCGATACTGGGAGAGAATCCCAAAAGAAATATATGGGAAAATCTTCTTTGGTGGATTATGTACAAAAAGAACTGAGGAATATTCCTGCCCATGTGCTCCATATGGGCAGGAATATTCTGAGAACAGTAACAGGAATTTTGACCAGGCATGCACTAGTAAGAGAATTTCTGAATAAAATAGGCATTTACAATGGAGACCTTAACTGCAGAGTCTGCGATAAGGAACCAGATACTGTAAAACATGTATTATTATGCAATTGTGAGGCACTGGACTGCAAAAGACAAAAACTATATGGGCAACCAAGAGAAGACTATGGGCAAAAAACTTGTACCAACTTCTACAGGGTACAAAAACTCTAGACTGGGTGTAGGAAACAACAATGGACAGCAAACACAATAAGCTTCAGCTTATATGATGAATTCTTCTTCTTAAAGTGCCCTCTCCTCAATGGAGGTTGGCTACTACAATTTTAAACTCTTCTCTATCTTCAGCTGTTCTTATTAGCTGTTCAAAATTTAGCCCTGTCCATTGTCGGATGTTTCTGAGCCATGATAGTCTTTTCCTTCCTAGGCCTCTCTTTCCCTCGATTTTTCCTTTCACTATAAGTTGGGCATATTGGTACTTATTATTTCTCAGTATGTGGCCTAGGTATGATGTTTTTCTTACTTTGACTGTGTTAAAAAGTTCTCTTTCCTTGCCTATTCTATGCAGCACTTCTTCGTTTGAGGTATGCGATGTCCATGAAATTTTGAGTATTCTCCGGTAGATCCACATTTCAAAGGCCTCCAATTTATTTACGGTTGATGTTTTAAGGGTCCACGTTTCCACTGCATATAGAAGAGTCGACCAGACGTAGCATTTTGATAAACGTAGTCGAATTTCGAGTTTTATTCGAGAATCACAAAGCAGTTTTTTTATTTTTTCAAAAGATTTTCTAGCCTGTTCTATTCTCGATCTTATTTCTTGATCAGGATTTAGGCTGCTATCGATCCAACATCTCAGGTACTTAAATCTATTGACCTGTTCTAAGATGTGCCCATTTATTGTGCAAGGTTGAGGTACGTTTTGGTTTTTTCGGATTGACATCACTTTGGTTTTTTTAATGTTTATTTTCATATATGATGAATAACATAACGAATTTCCAGATTCTAGTATAAGCTGAGTAGTCATTTGATAATATAAGTAAAAAACTGAGTAAAAAACTTCATTTTTTTGTACTTTTTTTCCAATTATTGCTATTTTTTCAACAATAACCATTAAATTTTCAATTTCTAGCTAACAAAATATTGTGTAAAATTTAATAACGAAACTTTTAACTACTTATAATTTTTTCTCTAAGATCAATATTTTTCGAATTATAAATGAAAATAGGAGCAAAAAAATGAGAAATTTTCAATTGTTTTCAGATTTTGTTAAATAAAAAATTTAACACAGGGTTTGCGACTGGCGCATATCGTGATTATCGATACTGGGCATATCCTAAAGGGATTCCAGCAAAAAAATAGCTTCCCTCGAAAATTTCCAATCTAAAACAGATCCCGCCTAGACTAAAGACATTTTTAACAATATTTAAAGAAAATATAATGCAAGTAACAATAAATAAACTTGAATTTCTCAACAATTTATAATAATTGTGGATACTATATGTCATTCTGGCTACTGAGCTTTTATTATAATATTTAGTCAACTTACGATAAATTAGCCTTTTTACTAGTTGGATCAAAGCATTCATCCCTTGACAATATCCTATTAGAAAAAATATTTTGATCTGCATCTAAAAACATTGCAATCATATGGGCATAATTCCTAGCTCCAAAGGTGCATATGTGAAGTTCATAATAGTCATGAATATTACGTAAAAACTTATGTGTCCCAGGCCTTAACCTAGTATGATACCAAGGGGAATTGGATCCATGTAACTGAAAATGATACACATCTTTAATATTAGGAGGTATGTTGTCGTTTGTGGTGTGGATTAATGTTTGATCCAGATCTACTAATAGTACTAATTTTCTATCTTTTAACAGGCGTTCATTATCAGCTTTTCCTATTCTTTGTGCCACTTCCTCACTGACTTTTAGATCTGGGATAGCATGGATCATAGGGACTGAAGCTATACTAACATCATCATTTTTTCTAAGATCTGCTCCACATTCGGCGCACATATCATTCATTATTGTCGGATGGGAACATGGTATTAATTCCAAAAGGACTTCCCTAAAATTTATAAAAAAAAGTGTTGCAAAGAAAACATCTGGAAGAAACCATAAGTCACAAATAAAATATATTTACACATTGTGTAACAGGTACAATTTTTGTGAAGTTGTAAATCTGTTTTTCTAGTCCAAAAAATCTTTGATCAATATATGAAATGTAACTACAACTAATTGATGATATGGGGATGATTTAACATTCATGTAGTATGTGTAATTATCCATTGATAACTCATTGATAACTAGCTGTTGACCTATTGTTACAACCTGTCATTCGCCACAGCTAAACATATTAAGTAAATTCTTGGCATCCATATACAGGCAACTCACTTTTGATACTATGTAAGAATGTAAGAGCCAGGTATACGAAGACTATTGAATTAAATAATTATTGTATAAAATTGGCAATGTCTATAAAAGTTTATGAATATTTACTAGAACAATCAATATAAATCTAGCTTATTCCTATAAGATTTAGACATAAAAAATCAACATTTATGGCAAAGATGTTCACTGAAATATTAAAAATATTTGCAATTTTTTTATAGATACCAAATCAGTTGTTACAGATATTATAGTTTATGAGTAAATATTAAATATGTTTTTTCTAGTTTTCTCAGAACCAAAAGTACAGGCTATTAATGTGGACTTTGAATACACAGTAATACACTAACCACTGGAAGGATAGACATTGAATCATATTTCTGTCTATCTTAAAAGGCAAAATATAATAAGAAATAATAAATGTTTAAAAACGCGATTCTTAAAGCTTAAGATCTTTTAAAGTCAAGTAATTTTTTATTAAAAAGTGTGTCTGTACTCTTGGAATGTCATTTGTTATATTGTTTAATAGATCTCCGGACACCTCTATATTTCCTTATTCATGGAAAGAAAGTTACATTGTTCCTATATTTAAAATTGGTACGAAAGACTTCTTCTTCTTCTGGTTCCTATCCGTTTCGGATGTTGGAAATCATATTGGCAATCATAACCTTGCTTGCTGCGGCTCGAAACAGCTCCGTTGAGGTTTTCTTAAACCATGTTCTTAAATTCCGCAGCCATGATATTCTCCTTCTACCGGGTCCTCGCTTACCTTTGACTTTACCTTGCAATATAGACTGTAGCAGGGAGTAACGGTGCTCATTTCTCATAACGTGTCCCACATATTGCAATTTTATGCGTTTGATTGTAAACACAATCTCTGGTTCCTTCTTCATTTTTCTTAGAACTTCCTTGTTCGTGATCCTTGCTGTCCATGATATTCTCAGCATTCTTCTATAAAGCACATCTCAAATGCTTCAAGTTTTTTTAATAGTGGTGTCTGTAAGCGTCCATGCCTCCGCCCCGTACAACAACACAGAGAAAACATAGCATCTCAAATGTCTCATTTTTGTATCAAGGGATATGTTGTGACTTTTGAAGATAGCGCTCATTTTGTTAAAGACCGTTCTTGCCTTTCCCATGCGGCACTTTATTTCCTGTAAATTGCTCCACTGGTCGTTAATAATAGTTCCCAGGTAACAATACTGTTTTACTCACTCTATATGCGTCCCATTAATGTATAGATGAGCCCCGTTTATATTCTCCTTGCTGATAATCATTTGTTTCGTTTTGTGGGTATTAATGTTTAGTCCGTACTGTTGACTGTACTTGTTTATTCTGTCCATTAGCCTCTGAAGTCCCTCTAAACTATCTGCTATCACCATGGTGTCGTCGGCATATCTAACATTGTTTACTCTTTCACCATTTAGAAGGATGCCTCGTCTATTCCGTAAAGAGCCTCGTTAAAATTTTCTCTGAGTACATATTAAATATCAACGATGATAGGATACATCCCTGTCTAACTCCACATAGTATTTTTATGTGATCTGTTTCTTCTCCGTTAATTTTCATGTATGCGGTCTGATTCCAATAGAGTTCTGAAATTATTCTGAGGTCTTTGTCATCCAGGTCTGCCTCTTTTAAAATGTTTATCCTCTTTTGATGTTGAACTGTCGAATGCCTTTTCATAGTTGTGAACAGCATTGACCAAAGCAACTTTCTTGGCTCTGCAAAGGCTTAATATCTCAATCACAACATAGTTTTCATAGCAAAAGATCCACTACAACAAACTTGGTTTGCTATGAATCTGATACATTATTTCAAATGGAAGATCTAAACAGGTAGATGCAATATACACAGATTTTTCCAAAGCCATTGATTGTGTAGATCACCAAATGCTTTTGGGCAAATTAATTAATGTAGGCTTCCATGTCAGGTTTGTTGAATGAATTAAAAACTCTCAATCTGGTAGAAGTTAAAGAGTCAAGAAAAGCTGTCTTCTGTTTAACAGTATCTCAGTAACATCTGGAAATCCTCAAGGTGGCCACACTTCTCCACTTCTTTTAAATATTTTTGTTAACAACATCACTTCCTGTTGCCTAAATAGCAAATGTCTAATGTTGGCAGATGACTTGAAATTTTACAAAGTCATAGATACCTTAAAGACCATGCCTTGTTGCAAGATTATTTAGACTGACTACAAAATTATTGCAATCAGAACAAACTCAACTTTCAACAAATATAAAAAAATGTTATTTTATAAGTTTTTCTTATAATATGTATACAAGCTATACTATGAATAATCAGTTACTGAATTGTTGCTTCTATTCATGGTGTTATTTTCAATGAGAAGCTTCTATGACCACATAAACACTATTTCAATAAAGGCATCTGTGGAGCATATGCACAAAAACAAATAAATTCACTTTTTCCAATTTTGAGATAAAAGCCAAAAACTTATACAGCAAAATCCCATAACAATTTAAAGAAACATCATATTGGAAATAAATAGTAGAAGTCATGTAATAAAATTCTAGAATTTTAATATATGTATTATCTTTTTTTACTGTTTTATTTTTGATTTTGTTTATAATTTATCAAGTTTTCCTTAAAAACATTAATTTATCGGTTTTTGCCTGAAAGATCTTTGCAAGAGTATGATACTTTTGTTGCTAATAAAAGAAAATAAACGAACTAGAATGTAGAAAATTATTTTTATTATAAGTGTATTTACACTGGTAAAATAATAGTTTTGGAATGATTGTATTTTTATGAATTTGCCATTGTTCAATTTCTTTTTTATTACAATCTTCTTTGTATCAGCTAGCACTTTCACTTTTTTCAAGCCAACTTGAAGCTCTTTCATATTAAACAATCTCCAATCAATTTCTACCTTTTTAACAACTCTTAACAATTTGTTTGTAAATTTCTTCATATTTCTCTCTAGAGGGAATTGTGGATTTTTTTATTAGAAGCTTTTCTACTCTTCCAAATACCCTGTCTACTGGCAAATACGAAAAGCCCCTGACTGGAAATACAAGTAATATTTCTGTTACTTGAACTGGAGCTTTAAATCTAAGCCAGAAGTACAGCGAATGAATAATATGGGAGTTTTTGTTTTGTCCACCGCATCCATTGCAAATGAGGCGAAGGAAGTATAGTAATATTATTGTACTCTCAAGAATCCAAATAATTCACAAGTGCAGAACTTATTTCAATTGATCCCCAACCTGCCTGATCTTCAGTCCACGTAAAAAAAGTTGAATGTTTGGACTGGCTATCTACGCAGCAAAAAACATACATGATAATCTGCTGTGCATTAAACGCGTCATTAGGTTCTTTTAGCAGACTATAAAAAGCATTATCCCTCTTTTGGTGGATACTCAATTCAGTATGAAACTCTCTTTTCTTTACATTGGCAATTTCTGATGCTGGAGTAGAAAACTGAATGTTAAAATCATTAACGAATATCCTCCTAAACATTGAAAAGTTTACATTATGTTCAGGTCGCATGCCATGCAATTTCTTTATGCTTAGATCAGCGACCAAATAAATTCATCTTGCTTTTTTTCTATTTTAATAACTTTCTCTTCCATGTAGTTTACCAATAAACTCTCTTATTTTATTCTTTTTGACAACAGATTTTGTGGACATGTGATCTCCACCCCGATTGTCTTTTGGGATATTTCCGTCTGACAATGTTTTAGCAACGTAGTCTATAGATGTTTTTAATATTCACTCTGCTTTTTGGCCTCACTTTTCTTTTTTTTCACATTTCCTATACTAATTTTCAACACATTTGTTTCCATTGTTAAAACTTAATACAGTTATGTTAAACAACTGCTTAATATGTAATTCATAAACAACATAACATAACCTCTTAATCCTTTCACCCTTAATTCTGACAATGTGATTAAGGTAACAGTCCTCTTGTTTTTTTATTTACAAAGTACTACCATAGGAGAAGAAGTATACTTCTTAGTTTAAGCTACTACCATCAAACGAATCATGAAACAGCATAAAGAAACCTGCTAAAGGTATGCTCGATATAATGGATTTACATACATTTCGAATTAATGATTTAAAGATATCAGGTTTTTCTTGAAATTTAGATTTATCAGCATTTGCTCAATGGTGAACTTTGTACATAATTTTAAAGGGAAAATATCAGTTTTTGTTGTAATTTTATATCCTAAAAACAGAGAGGGTCACTAAATTGATATGAATCCATATTCAGGTTAAAAAATTCAAAAAATGGATTTATCGGTTTTTGCATGTATGCTCTTCATCTATAGGTTTGTTCGTAGTAGCGATTACAAACGGTTTGTGATTTGAAATACAGTGCGCATGTTCAGTTGGAAACTGTTTGGAATTAGTTTGTGATTTTGTGCTCTGCGAACACCTAAAATTTGATATTTTGCATTTGTCATTGTCGTTTGTCAAATCTCGAAATCTCCTTTTCTTATTACTTAAGGCCGTATGACACTATGCATTTATTATCGTTTCTGATATAGAAAGTTATTTATGTTTTCTTGTATCGTTTCTTTCACGTACATTTTTGCCCTGTATGACACTATGCAAGGTCTTTTACCAGAAATTGTATGTGATTTGGCACATGATTGGTCGAAATTTTGACACCTATAAAAATAAAACTGCAGTACCTGAGGACTCCAAGCTACTAGGGACTGAGGACATATGCTACTGATTATTTTTTAAAATACTGTGGTGCAAAAATTAAAGAAATAAAATGTCCCAATATTAAAACTAAATTGGAAACCACAATTTTTGAAGATATTCAACAGGCTGTAATGGAAGACAGAAATAATAATTTGGTTGTAATAATTCCTTTTTTTTTATTATGTGTTTGAATGGCATGCTCTTGAAATTCTACTCTCTTATTTGGAGATATAAAATAATCTTTAAACTCATCATTCATTTTTAGAGCGGTTATTTCTTGTACAAGAAAATGCAGCGGACACAAATTCTTGTATCGTTTCTGATATAAAAACTATACTCTTGTATGACACTATCCATTTTTTTGTTATATCAGAAACGATATAAGAAATAATACAAGAAAATGCATAGTGTCATACGGCCTTTAGAATTCGATCTAATTGGTTTGTTAAATCTTTTTATTCACTTTTTTGCATTTATTGTTTAATATTATTAGTCATTTATTTGATTTTATTAGTTTGATTATAGTTTTCTTAGTATATTTTATTTTTTAGTTATACTTATATAGTTGTTATAACAACCCAACGTTTGTTTTGTGGTTATAAAATAGATTTATACAACAACAACACCTCTGCGCATGTCGCTGATTTTTAGTCCGCACAATCGTTGGGGATTTTAACAACCGTTGGAAACCGAATTCTGATTAATCACTTTGTTACTGTGAACAGCAAACTTAAAATTGCCAACCGTCAGAAGTGCTTCTACGAATGCTAATTGTTAACTGCGCGTGCGTCTGATGGTTGGCAACGGTTGCTGATCGTTCTACGACCAAACCTTATACTTCTTACTAGGAATTTGTTTTGTTACTAGGAATTGCAAGTATTTCTGCATTAATTCAACAAGATTAGTGTATTGTTGCTTAGTTAGATACATAATTCAAACCACAAACACAAATTAAAATGAATGACATGAGAAACAATAACAAATGCCCACAATATTGCTGAAGTATAGTAGATAATGATTCTAAAAACTGTTAAATGATACTGATAAATGAGAACTGTAAATCACAACACTAAAATACTAAGACTAGATTTGAATAAAATCACTATAACTTGGAGCCAATCGAAATGATTTGTAGTTTATCAATTACCAACTTGGAATGAACTATTTTTCAAGAGATTCAAAATCTGTTAATCTCTGATTAGGCTATATTAAAGCTATAGGTAACTCAAATAAGGAATATTATTTAGAATCAAGGCAACAATATGTAAGTATTATTGAAATTGTATTTGTAAAATAATAATTATATTTATTCAAGAATTGTATGAATTTCCAAACCAATTGCTCTGGTCACTTTCTTTGAATTACTCATTTAAACATTAGATAGCAACATGCATAAATGATGGGAAAAGACAAGAAGAAACTAAGTGTATATAACAAGATGAACAATTTTAATTTTACATTAAAATCTTCAGGCAATAAATAGCCCTCACACCTTTTTTGGCACACTTCTCATATCTTATCTACATATTTGTCAACATCTACATTTTATCAACTTATATAATTATATGATACTAATGCAATTCAGTATTTGTTAAAACAGAAAAATCCACTTTTTACACAGAAGTTTAATATTAGATATTACTAATAATAAACATACATATTTTAACTGGCTCTTTATCTCTCAAAAACAATTGCATAATGTATGAATTATATCCATAGTATGGCCAGTATGATAACAAATATCATTTTGCCATGATAGGTCAAAAATACTGTATTATACATTAATATAACATAATTACAGCTGCATAAATTAAAAAAGTGCACTAGTTGATACTGGAATTCTTACCCAGGTTTTACAATTTGTTCTTCTCGAACTAAAATTTGGTGCACAGTTCCAGCTTGTGTTGATTTTAATTTACGTTGTTCAGGTTTTATAGCTTCTTCAAAATCATAAATTAATATTGGACATCCTATAGAAATTCGTGTTCCTGTTCGTATTTTCCATTTACATATTTTTATAGGTTTTGTTTGTTGTTGAAAAATACTTATTGTTCTTTCCGCCATTTTTAACTGATCGATTTCGATTTCAAACGGCGATCTAATTAAAATTCAAAGTACACACCTGGCTTTGACAACGACAGATGACATACTTCAAAATCAGAAATGTGTCTTTACTTTAATAAGTACTTAACCCTTTCGCGCCTATCTGTCTCCTCGTTATGTCTTTATTGGGCTGTGTATTTTTTTTTCTATTTAATTTTTCTAATTAATTCTTACTTTATCTTATTATCAGTTAAATCAGTTAAAAATGACAGACTTCTTCCAATTGCAGAAGCAATAGCGTATGTTATCCTTGAAAATACGCTTTATACAGATTTACAGAATACAGATTTTTTGTTTTAACGTATATCGTATATCATTGATAATAAAAGTAAACTCTTTTTTGTTTTAATCAAAGAAAACTTTTTTCAAAAACGCCATTCAAAGAATATTTAGCATCTTATATTGCCCCGAATGGCTTCACTATAGAAGAATAATGTTTTAGAAAATTAGTTATTCATATTTATGCACAGTATTATTGTTATTGCCATTGCTGCCATTTCAGTTCTCGTTATAGAGGGAGTCTACTGTATTATTATCCAGATTTAGCCATACGGCTGATACTCTCTCTCTAAGGGGAAATTCACTCATCCCAGATACCAACGGTATCAAAAGGATTGAGCTCTAGTACATTATCGGGGACATATATGGGGACCCTTTCCGTGTTATCGAGCCCTAGGTGACTTGGTATGTTGGAGTATCTCCGAAACATTTTCGTACACATCTGGACGTCGCAAGGAGTACCTACAGCTTGCTGCATGGCCTTATGGTGATGTTTATTTAGATCCAGCTGTTTTATGTACTCTATGAGGTTTTTGGGAATATCACCATTAGTAGATAGAATAATAGGTACTGTCTGGGTACTTTCCATTTTCCATTGTCTCCTGATTTTTATTTCTAGTAGATATCGGTACTTGGCGATCTTTTCGTTGTATTTAACACGTAAATTATTGGTGCTGAGTATCGCCACATCAATAAGTGCTGTTTTCCTATAATAGTAAGTTTATTAACTAGTATGAGATCCGGTCTTTTATGTGGCACTGATTGGTCTGTGTGCACAGTGCGGTCCCAGTTTAGCTTGAAGTTGTCACTTTCAAACATTCTGTCAGGGCCGTATTGATAATAAGGAAGATGGTCGGTTTGGAGAAGTCCCAGTTTGTCAGCTAGTTCTTGATGAACAAATACTTCCTACTGAGTCATGACGTTCTTTATAATTAGTAACAACAAATGCCTGGCAGCCACCGGTAAGATGCTGGATGGTTTCTTAGGCTTGGCATCCACATCGGCATTTGTTATTTTGGACTTGAGGATCTTTATCAATATATTTCAGGTAATTTTTAGTTGAAATAACCTGATCCTGAATGGTAAGTAGGAAACCCTCATTTTCGGGAAACATCTTTCCTGATGTCAACCAATAGTTCGACGCTGCATTGTCGACATATTCTTGCTGATAACATTCTTATTAAATTTTGTTGTAATATGCAAAGTGTTGTACAAAGTAATTGATATGGCAACTCTGTTATTATGACGATATCTATCGATGATAAATATTACCGATATTTCAGATGGAGCCATCACTCTACAATACAATTTGATGGCGGCAGTTCAAGATATAATTTTTGTTTAACGAAATTTTTAGTATGTTTAGAAAAAAATTTTAACGTTTTATTGCATATGTTTTATATATGTTATTAAAAATTTTTCCGGTTTCTTAGCGGTAGCTTTGTGACATAACTGTACATTCAAAGATTTTCAAAAAATTTATTTATCTTTATAAAGTATTTCTTAGAATTATATCTTTATGCTGTAAGAAAATTAACAAAATCATATGTTTGGGTATCCTGGTTTATACTTGGAAAAAGTAGTTTTTTTGAGTTTTTTCAAAAACGAAAACATGAAGTTTGCTAAAATTTGTCAAATACTTTTAGTCATCACTTCTTTCAATTTTTTGAATGTGTAGTTTGTCTTTTGAGAGGTGCAGATCAACCTTATCTCGAATGTTAACTTACCAAGCAGTTTGACATCTCTGCAGTGCAATGTGATAATGGTGGACCTTGTAATACCCATCAAATTCAGATTATGCAGATACCTAAATATAATTTAATTTTTAAAGAATATAACTTAACTTTGACAAGAAATAGCTAGATCTAGAGATATATTTTTTTTAAGTTTAAAGGCGACATTTTATCCAATAATATCGCTTCTTCTTTATGTCCTGAATCTTGTATAGTGTTTGCTAGCGATTTTAGTTTGTGAACACAAGTGCATAGATAATCATGTCTCTCAATAAAATTAAGAAATATATCTTTTAGAAATTTGAAAACGAAAAACAAGTTCTTAGAGTTCATAAGGATTTTTGCATAAATTTAATACAAAAATGAATAGAACAAATATTGAAAATTATTTGTGTCTACATTTAACTCTCAGTATGCTAGACCAACAGAAAGATCTTTTCGTTGCGTTTATAGACTATAGACATGTCTAAAGAGAAAAAGACTTGACAAAAATGACATTACCATAGTGAGAAATCTCCATTGGAACTAACAGGCTGTGGTAACATTAGATGAAAATAGCATAGATGCGCAACATACAAGTAGAGGAGTGAAACAGAGCTATGTACTTTCACCATTACTGTTTAATATATATTCCAAAGAGTTATTTATGCAAGAACTTAAAAACTGTACAGAAGGGATCAAGATAAATGGTGAAAATATAAATAACATCTGTTATGCTGACGATATAGTCATTATCGCTGAAAGTGAGACAGATCTGCAGACATTACTAAATACAATTTATGATACTGTGGAATAGTTTGGTTTAACAATAAACATAAAGAAAACAAAAACCATGGTTATCAGTAAGAGGAGCAAAGTCATTACAAGGATCCAGATAAAAAATAAAGATATTGAGCTAGTAGACAAAATTAAATACTTAGGAGTCTGGATTATGGAAGACCTGAATCCAAAATCAGAAATTCGCTCAAGAATGGAGCAATCGAGAGCAACCTTTTTGAATATGAGGAAATTTCTTAGTAACCAAAGACTCAATCTGCAAATCCGATATCAGATGGTAAAATGGTGCACCAAATGGGAAGAGACAGAGAACTTTTGACCACCATTAAAAGGCTAAAGACAGCATATTTGAGGCACATATTTAGACATGATAAGTAGGTGTTTTTGCAGCTGGTTATGAAGGGTAAAATGGAAGGAAAAAAAGGGTCCTGGTAGACGACAAATATCTTGGCTGAAAAACATTCGCAACTGGACCAGGTTAAACACACAAACACTCTCAAGAAACGCAGAAGAAAGAGACAAATTTACAATGGTTATAGCCAACCTTCATTAGTGGAGACCGCACTAGAAGAAGAAGAATGCTAGTTATTTCACCTATGAGAAAAATGGGTACATTTGAATAACACACAATATTTGACGTAAGTTTTTAAAATTTATAAATAATAAAATCATGATACTAATAAACCTATAATGAACTAGTAATATAACAATTAACAAAAGTTTAATTGTATAAATTTATTATAAAAACACTTTCTATACAGCTCTAGGATCATCTTCTCCTGACTCATGGTACTTAATATATGTTTCCAAATGTGTAAAATCTTTCTTATTTTCTTGCCAACCTCTATTTGGAGCATTTTTATATTTAAATGTTGATTTCTTCTCACCATATATCTTGTTTATATCTTCAATATGATCTCTGTATTTACCAGCTACAACTTTTTTATTAGTAACAGGGTCTGTTATGTCACCATATGGGTACAAGACTTCTTTTACTCTGTGAGTAATCAATCTAGTGAGTCGTTCTGGCAGAAGTTCAACTATGACTATATCACCAGATTTACATTTCTTTTCAGGATCATGGGCATATACGAATTCATGTTTTGGGAAAAACTAAAAGATTAAACATTATTTTTATACATCCTAGATTTAGGGAATAATAATCTTAAAACATATCAAAGAGAACTTTAAAGTTTAAATAAGATTGATGATGATTGAGAATAGAATTGATGAAAAACTACAGAGCTTTTGGTACTGTAACAATCATTGCAGATAATTTATTGTAAATTAAACCTAAGAAGATACAAGTTAAACTATCCCTAAACATGTCGAATCAAAATGAATTTAACTTGCTTATAACAGAGCAATGATTGTATGGATTAGACAGTTAAGAAACTGGCCTGTGCTGTAAGACGAAAAATTTGTTATATCCTCAAAGACAAAGGTTTATCATTGATTACATAGAATTATATTGCAAAAATAATACATACCATATTCAAATTGGTATCAAGTTCTAGGCGTTTAACTTTAAATTTGGATGCTCCTTGTTTAAGGCATGGCACACATTGCCCTAATAACATAAAAGTTTTATTTATGGCTGGCACCAACATTGCCATTTTGAGATACAAGCTACTTCCTAAATTTCTATTGCCAATAATTGAATACCATTTAAATACAATATATAAAAATCCGTCTTTTTTTTATCAAATATTAGGTTATGTACGTGTTATCATGTTCTTCTTCTTATTCTCTTTTGGGCTAGAGGATAGACACTTTTTGTCTTGCTTCAGCAATCAGTGTCTACCTACACTTATATTCTTCCTTTGTTTTGGATTATTCTACATGTATACTTGTACTGGTATTTTTATATATTCTTCACAAGCTAAAATTTTAGTAAGACAACACAACAAAGGTATAAACTTTTCTCGCTCTCGGATAGCGCCAAACTTTGCACACACCAGAAATGCTACCGACTGATAAAGTAGAAGCATCCAGGACTGAAAGAAGGAAGATCATAATTTATAATTTAATATTGAAGGTAGAAATAATGTTGCATAATAAATTTTCGTGCCAATTGCCAGTCTGGTTGTCTACATTCTGTACATGTCTACAATTATGCTGCCTTACAGCCATTATTATCATTGATGACATTCTGTGATGACATTTAACACCTAACCTAACAAATAATCTATAAACAAAAATGCAAAATGTTTTTAACTCAAGATCTTTAACATAACTTAAGTGTTTTAATCTTTTTAATATGTTCATGTTTTAATCAAGAAATTTTGATTTTTATCAATGGTAGAATGGCTTCGCTCTTTAAAAAGGTGGAAACAAACAATGCAGAACAATTAAGATTAAATATTGTATTTAATGAGAATGATTTTAATTTGGTTATTTTAGAAAAATCCAATGCTTGGAAAGCCGAGGTAAATGTGAAGATCGTTAATTTCTAAAAATGTATCAAAGGTGTTAACTGTATTGAGGATAACAACCTTTGTTAACCAATAGTTAAGGAAAATAATATAAACTGTGTATTTATTGTTGAATTTCTGTTTTTACCTCCTCTTTTGGTGCAACAAAGTCAAAATGTGTGCCTTACAATATCTTAAGAGGGGATGTTTAAGGAAAATCCAGAAAACTTTTACATAGATAGTATTCAGTAATACAGTGGAACCTCGATTATCCATCAGGGCACCGGACCAAGGGTATGACGGATAATCGAAAAGATGGTTAATAGAAAATTTAAAAAAAAAATCATAGTATAACTCTCAAATTTGATTTGTATGTTTTATTTGACAATATAAGAGAAATTTATGTTAGTACAGTTGAATCAATTTGATTTAAATTATTCCGAAATCTTTGTTTGTTTTATTTCTACTTCACATTTGTCAACAGCTGAATTTCTTAATCGACGTAAAATCATTATTGCTTCTTCTTGCCGAGAATACCACTTGATGAATTGTTGCATGTGCGATGAAGCTCCTCTAGCTTTGCGCAAATCTTTGTGAGTTGTAATAGCATCATCAACATCGCCACCATCAAAATCGGCTTCTGAATCAGTTTTGTCGGCCTCCGTTGCCATTTCAACAATTTCATCATCTGTCAGCAATCGATAGCCGTTTGTATCCTCATCATAAACAAAAATTAACCATTTGTTTATGTCATCTTTAGACAACGAAAACAAAACAGTTGATTCAGCCATAACTTCATTTATGGCTTTTTTCCATAAGCATTTTAGCAAAGAATATTACTCTTCCATAACTAGGTTTTGAATAAATTTTTTCCTGTATCTTCTTTTGAATGTGTTAATGACTGAATGATCCATTGGTTGTATGAACTATGTATTCGCAGGCAGAAAACAGTATGTGATATTTTTATCGTCACTCTGCAGCATACCTTTTGATCCTTCTTCTAAGGTTTGTGTTATAAAGTAGCTACAGTTCCTTTGCCTTAGTATGTTGGAAGTGGAGTTGCTTCTCTTGCTTTATTGTGCAGGTACCTCCTGATCTCCTCTTTTACTATTAATAACTTCAGATCTTGATCACAGTAGTCATTTCAAAAGAACCACCATGCATTTATAAGACCCCTCAGGATCTTGTTTTGGAATACTTGAATTATTTATTAGCAGCACAGTTTCATATTTGTATACTATAGATTTAGACCGATTTTAGGATTTGTTCATAAATTAAAATTTTATATTATATATTAACAACTTCCAAGTTCTTGGATTGAGTTTCTTCCAAGCAACCAATACATTTTTCTAAATTTGGAGTCAAGTTCTTTTCTTCATTGTGTTCTTTACATATCAGTTGAGTTTCTGAGGCAATACACATGTATTTTGCTGTCTCTTGTCAGGAAATGGTTTAATTACTTCTATTAACTTTTGTTTGTTAATTTTTGTAGAAGGCCCAACTCAACATGTACCAATTTATTTTCATTTAATTTTATCATCCACATATTTGTCAACTGGTTTATTTTATTTAAAGTTTCCCTGATGTTTCAACTAACTGCCAGAATTGCTTTGCCATAGAGGAAAGTAGCCAAAATCTTGTTCTTGAGGTTTATAGAGTGTACAAAGTAATTATAGCAAATTTGATTTTGTGCTTCAGTTTCTGGATAATCCACACATTTGAGTTGGCTTCCATTCACATTTCCAATTGTTATTTGTTTAATTTTTAATTTATCTTTTATTTTTAGGTTTCATGTAATGATATTGAAAAATTAGCAAAACAACTTGACCTAGATGCTGAAGAATATTATTCCACCCTAAAACTATATTTAGAAGATACTCCAGATAATGTAAATTTTAAGTTAACAAACAAAGAATTTCTATGTTACTGTAATGACAATAGTATTAATATAAAGTATTTTTCCTGTAAACTTAAAAAGGTAAGTACATTTAGTTATACTTACTTACAATAACTTATTTCACAGTGAAGTGAAATGCAGCAGCAGAAAAACCCCTTGACACTCTTAGTGATCAGTCTGACTGTCTGACTTTTAACAGTAATATCTTATTTAAATTCCAGTTGTATTACAATATGCCTTAAAAGTTTATTTATACTTTAATCATCATTTACGATTGTAGAGTTTTTTTGTGCTTTTTGTTTATATAAGTTAAGAACTTTGTAATATTTTTATTGAATTTTTAAACTAAATGCATTTAACTACATATAAACAAGTAGGTTGTTTTGGTTTCAATGTCAGAAAAACAAAATTTGTATTTATAGTTAAATGCATAGATGCAGCCTAATTAAAGGTATTGTAATAGGATAATATTTTTAATAATACTCTACTACATTATTCTCTTTTAGATACCATTTCAAGAATGTATATATGATTTATTAGATAGCTATGGATTGAGTAATAATAAGAAACAGAACACAGATAATTCAACTGAAACATTAGAACTAAAAAAAGGTAAAAAGAATCACTTATAATTTTTCGCATGATTTATTTATTTCATACTTCGTGATGATGAATATTTTTGTTATAAAATTTGTATGAAGTGGGGTGATGAGAGTGATGATCTTTTTTACATATATGTGGAAACAAATTGGTGGTCAGGAATTAGTTGCTTGATACGGTTTGCTTCCTTGATTCTTTTGAGCAGTAGTTTCTCAAAAAATTAAACATTTTGGGGTAGGAGGCTTATTGGTCTGTATAAATTTGATTCTTTAGTTGATTTATCTGACAATTTTAAACTTTATGGGAAAGTAACATAGTCACAGGGTTCTATTGTATGTTGACGTAAGTAGGACAATTGCCTTTCAAGGTAAGTATTTTAGTACTGTTTCTACTATTAGGTCATATTCTGCAGCTTTGTGTGGATTATTATATTTGATCACTTGCATTACTTAAGATGGCTTTGTTGAAATCATTGGGAGTTCCATTTGGCAAGGACTGTCCAGATATTCCATATTTTCTTCATTATCTTCGTTGCCGTGTGATGGAAGTGAAGTGAAAAAACTAAGCTATATGTTGTGCAAATACTCTCACTATCTCTTCATTTGACCATGCCCAGCTATTATCCATGCTTCTTATTGGGTGTGTTTCAACGTAGCTCTTAAATTTCTTTGTTGCTTTCCAGGCTGAGTGATCCGCATATAAAAACCTCGAAAGAAGATCCAGTGCTTTTCATATTGGATAAATATGGGAGTCACAGTTCTTTGGAGATTTATACTTACTGCAGATCATACGGAATTATTATGGTTTCACTTCCCCTCATACCTCACACAGGCTTCAACCACTTGACCTAACTTTTTTGGACACTTAAAGAATGCGACTTGTAAAAAGTTCCAAATCACGTGCAGAACAGCACTCATAAATTTTCACTTCCACGACATTAAAAACTCAATTAGAAATAAAAAAAAAAGAAAAGAGAAATCTTAAGAAAAAATCTGAAGAGGTCAAAAACTGAAACCAGGAAAAGGATGACAGGAACGTAGGAAAACTAGCTGAAAACCTGTAAGCAAGAAAGCTGGAGTTAAAAATTTACATTTTGATGATTCTGAGTTGAAAGTTATGAAAGTGGGCCTTGTGATGATGATGTAGATCTAATATTAGAAAATGAGAAGTGTTTGGTGTGCACTGAATTCGGAAGAGAGAAAAAAAATTGGTACCATTGTGTAATGTGTTTGAATTGGGCTTATTCAGAATGTAGTCGTTGGGGTTCAGCAATTAATTATACTTGCGATATATGTGTCAAGTTTGAACGGAAGACAGTCAGAAAATAAAATTATGTCTTTAATATGTTTTTTAAATTTTGTCTTTAAGAAATTTGTTATGTTTACAATATTTGCTTTATTACAATGTTTTGGTTTTTTCAAATACAACTTTAATTAATTTCTGCACAGAATTACCCCGTACTTGGGGGAATACCGCGCAATGACAGTTTTAAGTTTCTTTAAGATTTGTCAAACTTTAATAGTTTTTTTTATGGGAATTACGTTTCCAATAGATACAAGTTTCAGTAGTTAAATTATGGAAGTTTGTGTGCAAATAGGAAACTTTTTGTAATTATTTTCCATTAGGTGCGCAGAATTCCGTCGGTCTCCCCTATCCAGCTCTGTCAGCAGTGATACTTGTTAGAAGATTACTCTATAAATGACGAAAATTGTCAGTGACTTTTTGTTTACACTGTTTCATTACTGTATTGTTAAACTTTAGACTAATATGTATATTTGTATCTAAATGTTAAATATATTTACTAATGAATAAATTTTGTTTGTAGGGTATGCGAGATTGGAAGAAAAAGTGACGGAACTAGTAGATAGAAACTTGAATAGAGAACAAGAATTATATAGTAATTTTGTCCTAGTATTAAACGAAAAGAAAAGAAAAATTCAGCATTTAACTCAAACGATAGAGGCGTTAAAAGCGGGAAGACCGGTATTGAATCCCGAAATAAAAGTGAGAAAACCGAAAACTTTAAAAAAAGAAAAAGAAGAAAAACAAAAGCCTGAAATGAACGTTTCAGAATCAGAATCAAGTAACAATTCGGATGGGTATAACACCGATGATGAAAAATCGAAGAAAGCGAAAGATGTAATCGAAGATGGACTTCCCAGCACATCAAAGAAAGTTAATTATGATTTGATTTTCGACGAATCGGAAGATGTAGGTAATCTGCCCAAAAGACAAAGGGGAATTAATGATTTTAAAGAAATTTGTAATACTCCAAAAATTAGCAAAGTACAGAAAATAGATAAAGAAACTACAAGTGCCAATATAGCTAATATCGAAGAGGATTGTCAAACAGAATCTTTCAATACACAAGAACTCTTAGATTGTATTTAATACAAAAAATTGGTAATGAATATCATCTCCAAATGAATCATGTAATTATTTTACATAAATGATACGTGGTTTCTATTAGGTCTCATTGTTTAGTGAAATTTTTTACTCCGCGTGAAAGTTATAGTACTTTACCGCCTCAAATGATTTGCCCTATTTATAATGTTAACACCCTTTATAAAGAATTATACATATTTAACTTTTTAAAATTTTAATAAATAATTTTGTTAAACTATTTCTTATTATTTAAATAGTTACTACCAATCTTTAAAAGTATCGAGTACCATATATTGCGGAATTAACGGGCTATATAATTTCGAACTCTATAGAGTTTTTGGTGATGAAGACATCGTGAAAACCATCAAAAGAAACCGTCTAAGATGTGTGGGCTACGTTATGCGCATGAATGAAAGTGATCCTGCTAAACAACTATGATAAATAGACCGGCCGGAAGAACAAGGGGGCAACCTAAACTCAGATATCTTGACGACGTGCAGGAAGATTTAAGGCAGATTTGTTTTTTTAAGTGCTTTGTTTTTATTTAAAAGTTTAATTTCTCTATTATTTCTAGTTAATAAATAACTATATTATTTTGAATGTAAACAAATTTCGAAATTTGGGGAAAATACAATATTTAATTTCTTAACTACAAAGCACGTGGTGTTCGTGTGTATTAAGGTATAAAAACGCTTATTAAAAGCTTAAAATTTTTTATTATAAAGAAGATCTTTTCGGAATTGTATCATTCCATCATCAGTTTAATAAAAAAGGTTGTTAAAAAACATTGTGTGGCCACATAAAAAACGTTCGGTGGACATCTGGATTTAAAAAATAATATTCTTCGTGTTATTTATTCAGGTAAATGCAATAGACTCTTGACTTGTGTAATATAAAAAATGAAACTGGGGGCATCTTATATGACCCCCTGTAGTTGGTGAAGTTTTATTGACTTAACCCTTTATAAGATGCCCCCAGTTTCATTTTTTATATTACACAAGTCAAGAGTCTATTGCATTTACCTGAATAAATAACACGAAGATATTATTTTTTAAATCCAGATGTCCACCGAACGTTTTTTATGTGGCCACACAATGTTTTTTAACAACCTTTTTTATTAAACTGATGATGGAATGATACAATTCCGAAAAGATCTTCTTTATAATAAAAAATTTTAAGCTTTTAATAAGCGTTTTTATACCTTAATACACACGAACACCACGTGCTTTGTATTCAACAGGTATACTAGCCACTCCTGGATATCTCCACTTCATGGTTTGTTCCAGTTTCACTTTTAAAAATTTCTTAACTATTCTGAATTTAACCCTCCGGCAGGCGCGCCGCTGTGTACAGCACCGCAACTATCTGAAATGTTTGCGCACGCGTCTATGTCTGTTAGTTTTGGACCGTCTGTCTAGGTATTCCTTGCTGAGAGTATCTGGCAACCTATCAGGCACAAAGCGAGCTGTGTTATAAACTACTGTAGTACTTGCGTAGCTGCGAAACTAGTAAGTTCTGTTTAGCGGTGTGGAACACAGCGGTGCGCCTAGTCATGTAAGTACATTTTCGCATAACAATGAATTTTCTGTGAGCCTTTGTGTGTTTTTATTTCATAGGAATTGACATATTATGAGGTATATAACTGCAAATATTTATATCACTTTGTTCTTTAGCGTTATAGGCATGCTACAAACGTTTATTTTAGGTATATCTAAATATCATTTCATGTATCTGTAAATTTCAGAGGTTTCTGGATTTTATTTAGATTAGCATTTTTTTACAGGGACAGAAAACAAAACAGAACTCCTCTTACTCAAAAAGAGCTTGAATATTTGGCTGAAAATCTCTCAGAAATTGAAGATACGTGTGAATTTAGTGATGACAGCGAGGGCTCAGAAGAAAACATTATGGTCAGTGAGCATGACAGTGAATCTGAGGAGTCGATTGATTCAGATATGGACATTTCTGAGGAACAGCTTGATACACCAGGCGATATGGACATTTCTGAGGAACAGCCTGATACACCAGACGAGCAACCTCTTGCCGTGGATTTTCGATTTTATATTGGCAAAGACACTTCCACATTATGGATAAGTAACCCTTTAAGCCTTCCAAGTAAAACCAAATCAAAAAATATCGTTAAGGTTATTGCTAGGTCCACAAGTCAAGCTAGAGATACAAGAAATGAACTAGAAGCATTTCTTAAATTTATTGATACAGAAATTATAGACTTCATCGTAACATGCACAAATATATATATCGACAACAAAATATCTGTAAATTACAAGAGAGAGAGAGACTGTAAGAAAACAACAAGGAACGAAGTAATGGCTCTAATCGGTGTATTGTTTTTAATTGGTATAAAAAAGGGCAATCATGCTAATGTATTGGAGTTATGGTCTGACGATGGTACGGGCATGATGATCTTTCGTGCTAATTTTGCCTATAAGAGATTTCTGTTTTTACTACGTAGCTTAAGATTTGACGATATTACAACAAGAAATGAAAGAGTCATTTCTGACAAAATTACAGCTATTCGAAATATTTATTCCAAATTTACGAATAATTGTCAAAAGAACTATACCCTCGGCGAATGCATTACTATTGATGAAATGTTGCATCCGTTCCGGGGAATATGTGGATTTGTTCAATATATTCCGAACAAGCCAGCAAAATATGGTTTGAAACTTTACGCAGTGTGCGATAGTCAAACATGGTACACGTGGAATTTTGAAATTTACTGTGGAACTCAGAAAACTGGCCCTTTCCAAGCATCAAATAAACCAACAGATATAGTTCAAAGATTAGTGCAACCCTCCTGCACACTAATAGAAATCTTACGACGGATAATTATTACACCAGTTATCCATTGGCTAAATATTTACTAGAAAATGGGATGACTATTGTAGGGACCCTAAAAAAAAATAAACCAGAAATTCCGCCAGAATTTGTCAATATAAAGAACCGCGAAATTGGTACAGCAATGTTTGGCTTTCAACACGATGTATCTCTTGTTTCATTCAAGCCAAACCGAATAAATGTGTGCTATTATTATCAACGATGCATGATAATGGAAAAATTGATGAACTTACAAATAAACCTGAAATCATTGTGGATTACAATGCTACAAAAGGTGGGTTGACACAGTCGACCAAATGTGTAGTTCGTATTCGACACAAAGGATAACACGAAGATGGCCACTAGCTTTATTCTTTAGAATACTTGATTTGGCTGGTATTAATTCCGAGATTATTTATAAAGCAAACAGACCTTTAGTAGAGCATCCAAGACGCAGAGTATATCTCACAAAATTAGCATTTGAACTAATGGAAAGCCACTTGAAGGAACGAGCTGAGATAAAGAGCCTTCCCAAGGATGTGCGCGAGTTTCTTTCGAAATATAGACTACAGCAACCACCTGCCCCCGAAGAGAGAAGAATTGGACCTTGTAAATTATGTGGAAAACATAAAAATATAAAAGTTGCCAATAGATGTATCGAATGTAAGCATTTTGTATGCCAAAAACATGGTGTGAGGCAGATAACATGCAACAACTGCTCGGAGCTCAACAATTAGTTAAATATTTTTTTTGTTTGTTAATGTGTCTTGGTTCGGTTCCATATTTTTATTTTATTTTTTTATAGGATTCTACGTTAGAAACTCTCTTAATTTTTTACGAATGGCACTTTTTAATAATAAATGGTTATTTTGCGTATAACTAAGTTTTATATGAGAACTAGAGTTTGCGGTGTTCTACACAGCGTCGCGCCTGCTCGTGCAACTTAAAATGTCGCGCCTGCCGCAGGGTTAATACGATATAAAACTTTTGTTTGTCTATACGATTTTTAAATTAGTTTTGTATAAACACTCCTCATGGTAATGTAAACATGAAATGCTATTTTGATATCCTTTTGGAGTGACGTGACTTTTAATGTTTTTTTTTTTTGTTCATTACTAAGAGATTATAAAGTATAGTTTTGTTGTAAACTTTCTATAAATCTTATTTTTTTCTTTTCTCGTCCTCTTTGAGGTTAAACCAGGGGTGGCGTCCAATACTAAATTATAATTATCTAATTGTGCTTGGATTTAAGATATGATACAGTTTCTATATATTTGAAAGAACCCCTTCTAACATCAGCATAACCTGTTTGGAGACAGGGATTAATATATAAACTGATCCGTATTATCCCATGCAGAAATTTAACCAACCTCATTGATAACTTGAAATCAGCCTCAAAGAGTATGAGCAAAAAGATTAAACTTAATAATGGTCTGACATGCCTGCAGCTTGAATATACTGACCGAAATAAGAGTAAGTGAGAGACAGACGACGCGAGAGAGATGGCAGCCTCGCTAAGGCAGGGGTTTGAAAGTCCTTGGTGGTTCGTGTGGGTGTGGTTTCCTCGATGAATGTGTCGGAGAAAGAATGGGAATCGGGTGATAGCATAGCAGGGCATCAGGAGAAATGTATGCCTTAACTGGCCCTTCCATCCTGATGTCTGGTGTGACAGACTAGAGGTTTTTCGGAGGTATCGGAGTGGTGACGGGACGAGATGTCAAAGGTCTAAATTCCTTGGGCATCTCGACCCTGCACAGCTTCGCTAGGGTATTAGGAACCCAACACTACCTGTGTAAATCACAGGTGTCTGTATGCAGATTTTCCTTCTTCTCTTTAAATATGTAAAAAATAAAAAAAAAGTAAAGCGGAAAACTCCGGAGTAAATTATAAATTCTTATCTTTTTAACTGTTCCATTAACTAAGAATACTTTTTTTAAATAATGTATGGGTAGACATTTATTGACCCCCCTTGGTCATCGCTGTTTCTAATAAAACGTTAGCCCTGCAAGGATTAAGAAGAATTGAAAGACAAAGCATTCACAGCAGTGTAGGCCAGTCTCAGAATCTTTTATTATTTACATTAGGTACATAGTATTTAAATTGATTTAAATCATTTATTGTATAAAAGCATTTATAAATAACGTTAGAATACTGCAAATCCATATTAATATTGATGGAAATACTACGGCTATAGGGGAAGCGGATGATATCAATAAATCTTTAGCATATCTAGCATTCTCAAAAAGAGATATTTGGTTGGTGGAACCACACTCCGGTATTACGGACAAAATACCTACCAGAGTAGCATTGCATACCAACAAACTGCCTGGAACCATCTGCAATAAAAAGATGAAATTTTAGATAAAATGATTACGCTTTACTTAAGCCTACAGGAAACACGTGAGAAAAAAATTCCATTATAGCACACGTGAGGCCTGAGAAGCCTATATGTAACAAGTGGTAATTAACAAATATGCATCAATACAACTAGTAGTTTAATATTATAAAATATCAGAAATACATCATTGCATTAAATATTCCTTACTACAGTGGGTTTATACGAGAAACTTAAAATGCTAAAATCGATCGAAGTTTTCGATAGAATCAAGAAGTCAGCGGTTTTCGCTGCAATTAGAACATACGTAATTAGCCTGTTGCAGACAAATCGGCGGGCGAACTTTCGACACCAAATTGTCTTTGTACCTGGGATAATCGAAGGGTCAAATTTTATTATAGGAAATTTCGACACCGCGGCGTAAGGCAGGTAGGTAGGTAATTAGCGGCGATGGACATTTGCACCCAAGCAAGACAAGCGGATTTTCCCAATATTTATTGTCACGGCGGGGGGCGTGGCACTTGTGTACTTGTGACTAAATTATTTCAGTTGTAATTTATTTCTTGTTTGACGTTGACTTGTGCACGTATACGGATATTTAAAAAATGAGTTTGATAAAAAGTTCCCGTGGTCGAGATTTATTAGTGGTGGAGCATCATTCGTTCTCGAAACAGAAAGTGTTAAAAAGCGGCGAGATATTTTGGCGCTGCATCCAAAGAAACACTAAGTGTTCCGCAAAAGTGTTCACAATAGGCTGTGAGGACCTCACCATCACAAGAAGTGATTTGGTACATAATCATGAAGCCGATCCAAAAAAGCTTGAAGTAAAGATGGTAACCAATGCATGTAAAAGAAAAGCCCAAGAGGACATATCGGAAAAGCCTGCCAATATTACAAGAACTGCTGTTGCTGAGTGTGATGCCAATTTGCTGACGGTACCTGACATAGCTAGCATAAGAAAGAACATTTACAACTGTCGTCGTAAACTGTTACCAGGTCCGTTACCAAGGAGCATATCAGAAGTCCATAACGCGGTTAGTAATTATTCTCCTAAAACCTGTCGCAATGAAAGTTTTTTGTTTTTAAATCATCCTGAATTAAATGTAATTGTATTTTCATGCGAGACAAATATTCGTTTGTTGTGTAAATTAAAAACTTTGTATATGGATGGTACATTTTCATACAGTACCAAATATTTTCTACAATTATTTACTATACATGGTTTGGAAAATGGACATTATGTTCCTTTAGCATACTGTTTGTTAAAGGACAAATTGTCAATGACATACAAAAATTTATTTTCTTTATTAAGGTCTAAGATTTTTGAAACATTTCAATTATCATTAGAGCCAACTGAAATATTTGTAGACTTTGAAAAAGCAATTCACTTTGCTTTATTGTATATGTGGCCCAATGCAAAAATTAGTGGATGCCGTTTTCACTTACACAAAAACTGGTTTAAAAAAAATTCAATCTTTGGGTTTAATACAAGAATATAAGGATACAAATTCAGAAATTGGAAAATGGTTAAGGCATACGTTTGGTTTAACTTATTTAAATCCAGCAGAAGTTGAAGAATGCTTTCTTTATGATTTAATGTCATATAAACCTATAAACGCAACACTCGATATATATATATATATATATATATATATATATATATATATATATATATATATATATGCAGATTATTTACTGGAAAATTACATTTTCGATAGCGCTCTATTTCCACCACACATATGGTCTAATCAGAATCCGTCTGTTGCGAGGACCACAAATGCCTGTGAATCCTTTCATTCGAGATTTAATTCTTCTTTTTATTCAACACATCCTTTTATTTTTATTGAAAAGAATTTCAAGTAGACACTTATGTCAAAATAAATAGTTTACATATACCAGCAAAAATCAAAGATACTACTGTTAAGGCTAAATTGGCATTTTTGGAGAAAATGATGGATAAACTACGATCCCAACAAATACGTAGGTTAGATTTTATAAAAGCTGTATCTTATCATTCCTATAATAGCAAATAAATCATTGTATACAAGTATATTAACGGTAAAATGTACAAAAATTAGGTACTAGTTGTATTATATTTAGATATTATTACAGTTATAAAGAAATAAAATGCACATTTCTTTTATTAAAATAAATAAATTAATTAATTATGGTATTTTATTTATGTCGCAGCTATATTTATTTGGTGTCGAATATACCTGTAAGATAAAAACGGGAATTGGGGCTGGTGTCGAAAATGGCCATTAAATTTTAGTCGCTACCGGCTTAGTGTCGAAATTTCCTACGCCCAGACAATTGCAACAGGCGCATTTTTTACAATAATATCTACCTTTTCTATTCTTTCAAAATTTACAGTACTTTCTTTTAGTGGTTGAAGGCTTAGGGTTATTCTCTTCTATTGGTTCAAATGCAGCAAATTTTCTTGCATGATTTCGGGTTTGGCGTGGCAAATGCATGTTTTCAGCTTTTTCCATCAAATGGTTTTTCATCAACTGGAATGATAACTGTTTTAAAAAATGTCGTCAGCTAATTCAGTATCCAATAAAATATGGCCATAGGACAGCGTCGAGTGTTTCTTGCACAATTTCATTCACCACACAACTGATCGGTAGAATCTACAACTCCTTTGGTCACATTATAGAATATTATCATCTCTTTCTTTATTTCAGCTGTTTGTTCATCGATGTTATCGTCGTGATGTAAACTGGAAGCTACCAATACACATTTGTTTTTTTTTTTTTGAATATATGAAGCAATAGTAACGTTTTCGGTAAGGCCAAATAATGTTGAATGTTTCAGTTGACAGTTCCAACAACTGTTAACTTATGATATTTAAGCATCTTTTCCATTTTTTCAATTCCAGTAAACCAATTATCCATCGTAACATAAGTTACGATGCATAATAAGTTTTGGCGTCTACTAATGCAAAAACTTTAATACCTTGCTGGCTTGTTGGGAATATACATACGGAAACTGCACCTGCCGAGGAAGGCCCACAACATTTCATCCAGTATCACATACTCACCAGCGCTATATGATATTTGACAATTATTACTGAACAGTTTAAAAATGTTTCTAATAGCAGTGATCTTATCTACTTCTTTTCTTTTTGGTTACATCATCCATTCTTATGCATTTCAGAAGATAACGAAAACGATTTATGCCCATTGCAGCCGGAATATAGAATTACCAGTTCCATCAGTGGTCCAAAATTCGGCAAGATTTAATCTGTTGCCATGTAATGTACGTGCTAGGTATAGGATTCATGCTCAAACTTGCTTGGAATATCAGTAAGAGACAATATCAAAAACACTGTTGTTGAACTGTTATATACGAAATCCAATTCCCTTCAAAATAGGTCCAATAGCAACAAAGATATGATATAGGGCCGTTTTGGTTTTGTTCTCATGTTAGTTTGTTTCTCAGCTAGCCTCAGTGACTACTCTCCTTGCCTTCAACGTCTAATATGCTCAAATCCGATCAATAGCAACAAAGATCCGATATAGTGCCGTTTTGAAAATGTCTTATTAGCTGTTTTTATCTAAACATATTTGTTACCACCTTCCGTTTCTATCGATACCTTGCACGTTGCCGTACGTTGAGCCGTTTAGACGTTACAAGTTTAGTGTCCTTTTAGCTATAGACCGTCATGTTTTTTTCTGTGTCTACTTATTCGTGGCCCCTCTCCTTTCCATTGATACCTTGCATGTTGTTGTACGTTAAGCCGTTTAAAAGTTACAAGCTTAGTGTCCTTTTGGTTATACGCTATCATACGAAAAGATCAAAAATGACCAGAATGGACCTTAGCGATTTCTTATGGGATTTAACATGGGGAATGATCAGTTCTCTTGTTGCTCTTTTACTTTCGATACATCGAAGGGCATACTTAAGGCTGATTTATAAACTTTCCGTTGGCGTTGGCGCTGGCGTTCGCCGTTGACCTTGGCGCTGGCTATCATAGAGTGCATTTATAAACTTTCAGTTGTAAAGATGACATCTAAATTTGTAACCTTACATTTTTTATTTAGTATTATTAGTTTTTGTTAGGTGCAGTGGCAAGTCTCACTGATACTTTGTATTCGAGCAGCACTAAGCCTTTGAAATAAAAGACAACGTCGATACAAACGGAGACCCATTAACCAGAACAGAAAGACAAGAGGTAATTTTAATTATAAAAATATGAAAAACTGGGATACACAGCAGTTTTTGGATTTACCAGTTTAGATACTAGGATGCAGATTTCAGTATTTGAAAAATAAATGCAAATGGTAAAACTAAAAATAAATGTAAACTATCGCTCTGATGAAATTTGTATTGAAGAGAGGCGTGTTGTTATCTAAACTCTTAAATTAAACATAAACAAATAATTTAGTTTGATTTGTTTGACAAACCTTCTCACTTTTTCAGTATTGCTATTGGCTGCGATGACAAAGATACAGTTTTTTTTATGTTCTGTGATCGTGACAACAACCACAGAAGGGTTTGTGTATTCTGTGCTACAACAGCCAACGGCAAAAGATAAAGATAAAATCTTGAACGGAACCGAACGCCGACGCCAACGGCGAACGAAGTTTATAAATGGACATACGAGTTTTCCATTTGACCATGTTGTAACGCGAATGTCAGCGCCAGCGCCAACGCCAACGTAAAGTTTATAAATCAGCCTTTATTCTAAACACGACAGAATTTGCCGAAGTTGTAACGATTTCATTAAATCTCTATACCCTTTCATTCTGGAGTTATCTGTAATCTTCATGAACTAAAGTTCTCTCTTTGACTACAAGACAGGCAAACAAAATGACATGGTTTTAAGAAACACCTATCGATATGAAGGACACCTTAGCGTAAAGTGTGTTTTCCTGTTCATCCTTTTTGTATAGTCACCCAATTTTGTATAGTCAGCGAACGGTTAGGAAATTGTCATGAATTTAAAGGAAGTGCAGGAGATTGTTTTTACGTATTCAACCAATTGTTTCGCTAAATCCTATGGTCTTGAACTCTAATCGGTCTTGAACCTAAGGCAAAAAAAAAGAAACACCTATGTATTTAATGAGTAAATAGAAAAACGAGAATATTTCTAGTTGATTTATCTGAATATCAAAAAGTTTCGTTACATTTATCGAAATTTTATTATTACAATAGCTTTGCTACGCCCCTGATCGAGATTTTGCGACATCCCAAGAAGCACTATAGGTTGCCTGACGCAAGAATTCAACTGCGTTATAGAAGAATATTTCAAAAGATGATTTTACTATATATAAGGGAATATTACTACATATAAGGGAAATTAAATTGTAGAGAGTCAGTCTATAATATAAACTTGTATGGTTAGGTAAATAAACGTTATAAATTAATTGTGTTTTTAGTATTAATATTAGAATAGTCAAAGACTGTCATGGCTGGGACATGTGCAGAGACAAAACGATGCAAAAACAACAAAGAAAATGTTACAATGAGAGATCTGAATGGAAGGACATAGCCAGACAGGCAAAGACCCATCCAGGGTTATGATGCCAAAAGAAGAAGAATTAGAATACTGTAAATAAATTAAAATAAACATTGCATTATTCTCTTCTGCAAACGTTTCATTAGGTTGTCTCAGTACAAACACGCGATTTGTCTTATAAGCTTGCTATTTGTTTAATTCTATTAGTTTCATTAGTGTGGTGTCTTTTTTATCTCTAGTCTAATAAATAACTAATAATTGTTAAAACGATGCAGTACTTACATTACATAAAGTTTCATTCTCCGCCTTATTCTTTGCGCACATTTTTGTTGATGTTTCAATGTTACAATTAGTCAATACCACATTTATTACCTCTTGATTAGTAGAAACCTACAAAGTATGAAAATAAAACACTGAAAACTAATTCTGAAATTTCTCAAAAGTTAATTCTTCCGATATTGAAGCCCAAACGCTGAAAATTTATTTTATATCGATTTATTACGAACAAGACATTTGGTAAAAATGGAAAAGAAAATAGAAAGTAATAATAAAGTAAGAATATTTACAAAAATAATTTTGAGTAATAAAAAAAAGCAAACGGATGCCTGGTTTTGGTCTGGCCTTGGTTTTGGACAACCTTAAGTAAATAAAATATGAAATGTATTTAAGTAATATTATTAAACTTACGTTATTCCATCCTATAGCTACACAGCTGTCGTAACTAGGAGGCATCGAATCACTTTGTAACCTTATAGGTCTGATGGGTGAGTTTTTTGACATCAACTTAACTGGTATCTACAAAAAGCATAAATCGTAAACCAGCATAATATAAATGTATCTAAAATATACTTTAAAATATAATTACGTTCATGTCTATGGATTATATCTTTGTTTTAGTATTTAAACTGACAGATATTGTGATGACGTAAATTAATTTTACCGGTTCTCTTTTAATTTTTTGTTTTTCCTTCATTTTTCGTTAAGTGACGTTGTTGATGACCCTTTGGATGGGTGTTTCCCCTGGTTTAAACAAAATAATGAGGGGTCAGACCGGTTTAGACCGGGCCCCTCTACTATTGACCAGATATTCACAATAAAACAGATAATGGAAAAATGCTGGGAGTTTGATCGTGAGCTTCATCAGATGTTCATAGATTTTAAACAAGCATTTGATAGAGTATGCAGGGACCGACTGTGGATAGCGATGCAGGAACTTGGCTTTCCAAAAAAACTAGTCAGATTGATACGGATGTGTATGAAACGGTTACGATGTAAGGTGAGAGTTGGACAACAATACTAGGAGATATTTGAAATAAACAATGGACTAAAACAGGGAGATGCACTTTCACCACAACTCTTCAACTTAGCTCTTGAGCACATAATCAGAAGTGCAAGAATCGAAAAACCCAATATAGTATTTCATCGAGAAGGACCAAACTTACTACTAGCATTTGCAGACGATATCGATCTAATAGGAAACACACGATTAAGGATGAAGGAGACTTTCGTGAGGTTCGAGAAGGAAGCAGAGAAGATGGGGCTCCAAATCAACGAAAACAAGACGAAATATATGTATATGAGTCGCAATAACCAAAGCAGGGACAAAATCGGTCAGAACATCACCATCGATGACTTTAACTTTGAGCGCTTTAGAGAATTCAAGTATCTTGGAACAACAATAACTGAAGACAATAACGGATCACAATAAATAAACAACAGGATTCAGGTCGACAAAAGATGTCTTTTTGCCCTCCAAAACCTTATAAAATCGAAACAACTAACACGACGTACGAAGATACAGGTCTATAAAACAATCATACGACCCGTTGTGATGTATGAAAGCGAAACGTGGACGATAATAAAGGCAAACGAAGAGAGACTATGTGTTTGGGAAAGAAAAATCCTAAGGAAGATCATTGGTCCTGTGTTGGATGAAGCATCAGGACAGTATAGGATAAGAACTAACAAAGAGCTCGAAGAACTTTACCCAGGCGCTCAGAAGACATTCTGATTAACGAACAGTAAGACTGGTGTGGGAGGAAGTCCCAACTGGAAGGAGAACATGCAGAGGCCCTCGTCTCCGGTGGCGAGATAATATAGCAGGAGACCTAAGCACTATGGGCGTGGAGAATTGGATGGAGGTTCAAGACAGAAAACAATAGAGTCATGTTGTCGAGTCGGCTAAAACCCACGAATTGTTGTAACGCCACGGAGTAAGTAAGTAACATTTTAATGCATATGTGGGTAGAAACCCTAAAAGCGATATTGTAGGACTATTGGAAGTAAAAAACAATAAACGATAGTGGAGATCGACTTAATAGAATTTTGCCAAGAATATTCAATGAGAGGCAAAAAGATGAAAAGAGGGTATCAAATAAGTGATGAGGAGGAGAAGGAGTTTGATGAAGACTCCTGGAAGGCTAAAAAAATGACATAAGGGATGCGAAAATGGTCAAGTTAGCTGTAAAGAATCACTAGGTATATACAAATCTTAGGTATATCATCTTACGACCCTCTTCCCTATAACATTTATGTGCTCAACTTAATTCAAACAACACTTACATCTATTACGGCTAAATCATATTTCATCTCAGCAGTATTGAACTTTTTATGAAATCTTATATCAGATACAGAAAAAGATTCATACTCCTCGGTATTCAAAATTCTTCCGCCGCTATTAACAGATATTATTATAGGTGGCAAAAGACCTCCCCAATCGTAATAAAGACAATGCGCCAAAGTAAGTACTTGATCTTCAGCGATTACTGCTGCTCCACATACAAATTGGTTGTTATAATTCAGATGGACCGATACCTGAAGCAAAAAAATTATATTAATCTAATGATATAGTGCTCAAAAATTGGTTATTTTATTACAGTGATGGCTCGAGCTGGTTCATAAATGTCATGTTATCAAAATTTAAATTTCTAAATAAAATCATTGATGATGGCTGTGTTTTCTTTACATTATGAGCTGTTCCCATTTCAGAGACATTTTTTTTATACTATTCTTTTCATGATTAAACGTTCCATTGTTATTTTTTTATTAACCGTCGTTTAAAATTACAAGGTCGTCTTATTTCACTTTTACTCCTAAAGTTTTTCGTACACTTATACAATTGTCATCTTCAGAGGATACTTTTTTTGGCTTAGACCTATTTCAGAGCATACAATATATAAATTCTAAAACTAAATATAGTATCCAACAAGACCACTTATCTTTCATCAAACATTGTATGCCCAACAGTTACCTATTTCATCTTCCAAAATAAATTCTACAGACAAATAAATGGTGCCCCAATGTGCTCCCCACTACTTCCAGTAATTGCCGATATCTTTATAGAAGACTTCGAGACCTGAGCACTTTCCACATCAATGCTCAAACCCATATGCTGGCTATATTTAACGGATTTAGGATTTATCCCTAACGTTTCTCGACGTTATCATACAGAAAAACCAATCCTAAGGTTTTCATCACTCTGTTTATCGAAAACCCACCCATACCAAATCGTTATTTGCATGTCAACTTTCATCATTCACCTTCACAACTTAATTCAGTCATTAATACGGTTATCTCCAGATCAATGCGCCTTTGCGATGATGCAAGTAGACCCGCTGAGCTTTCTAGTTTAAAACAAGTCCTTGTCCAAAACGGTTACTGCGAAAATCATATCAATAGGAGCATCCACAGACACCAATCTCCCACTCAATCTCATCCCAAAGACACAGACTTTCATCATACGAAAGCTTTTCTTCCTTATATCAAAGGTGAAACTGACAAAATTGATTATTCTTAAATCAAGAGGAATAAAGACAATATTTACCCCCACCAAAAACTTTCATCTCTTGTTCGATCAATTAAAGACAAACTGCCCCCGATCTTATATAGGCCAAACAAATCGTATAATCCAAAATAGGATTTATGAACATTCAATTTCTGTTCGCAATTCCGACTCAATTTCAGCTCTATGTCAATACCACCTTCATACAGGTCACACAATTGATTTCTAAAACTCCCGAACAATAGCTCCCATCCGCTTCTATAAACCAAGAATTATCCGAGAAGCCATAGAAATAGAAAAAAGACCAAATTGTCTCAATAAAAGAAATGATGGCCTACGGTTATCTATATCTATATATTTCAATGATACACAGGATATTATTAAATAAGTACAACAAATGTCAGGCGTTGATTCTTCATGAAAAAATAATAATAATTTAATATCTGGTTTCCGAGATACGGGTGTTAAAATGTTTCTTACAAACTTACCAATTCTTGTAGTTGGCTGTATACCATAAATCACAAAAGTTTAATTTGGAAAGCGTTTATAAAAGGTATGTAATTAAAAAGACCCTTTCGGGCTATATCACAGAACCTTTTCGGGCTAAGACCCAAACAGCACAGTACGTCTTAAGTACGTACAATTTTGGTACTGTACGTACATGATGTAAAATGTACGTTTTAAGTACGTACATTGGGGTACATACCAGTACGTACAGAAGAGTACATACTTATTACGTCTTAAGTATGTACATACCAGTACGTACAGAAGAGTACGTACTTATTACGTCTTAAGTATGTACATACCAGTACGTACAGAAGAGTACGTACTTATTACGTCTTAAGTATGTACCATGAGAAAGACGAGTTAAAGCATATTTATTATTTAAGGTTATGTTAACCTAACCTAATTTATTTAGTTAGGAATTTTACACCTCGAGTACAGTTGTGATGTGATAATTCATTGCAAAACAGTTTCATTTAGATGTTTTTTACTTATTTTTGGTATTTGGTGCTTGTGGTTTCCTGTTATTTTATTCAGTCGAGTGTTTTTTGTGTTAAAAATGTAACAAGAAAGTGGCGGAGCCAGAAATTGGACGATGGTTGAAGAGAGTCGGGGATCGCTTAAAAACTTTCTTTCTTATTTTTAAAAGAATAAAAATTGAATTTATTTAAAAAAAAATAAAAATATATTCACCTATAAATACTTTTATTTACATAAATATGTACTAGGTACGTACTTACAGTACGTACCAGGTACGTACTTTCAGTACGTACTAGGTACGTACCTAATAATTTGGAAAATGTACGTTTTATGTACGTATTAAGTACGTACTTCGTACAGTAAAGTACGTACATTGTACGTACTTTATGTCCCATAAGTACGTACTTAGTATGTCTTATGTACGTACTTGTGCTTACTGGGGAAGTCCATTATCAGTGCATTTACCAGGTGTACATGAGTTACCATCTAGATTCCATAAAGAGACATCGTCTCAGGGTCAGCAACCCCGAAATTGGAAGTATCTCACCAACACATTAACAAAGATGTAATTAATAAAAAAATTTGTACTATTTTAAGTGTTTTTACCCACATATTTAGGGACTTGACCGATGTACACCTTGTAAATACACTGATAATGGACTTGTTAGTCCTAAAACGTTATGTAATGTAGCTCGAAAGGTTCTTTTTAATTATATACCCTTTATAAATGGATTTTTAACAATAAATAAATGGTCAGTTTTTAACACCACGTATCTCGGAAACCAAGCATTTGCGGACATAATATGGCGGACTGTCATTATTTTTTATGAAGAATCAACCCCTGACGTTTGTTGCACTTATTTAATATCATCATGTGTATAATTTAAATATGTATGAACTAAAAACCGACACTTTAAAGGTCTGTAACTCAAAAACAACAGGTTAAGTGAGTTTTGGATCAACAAGAACTTTAATCGGCATGACCAGCAACGGCTGCACATTTTTTCAGCCCCTTTAAGTGAAACTACTTTTACATAAGAAAAGTGCAGGATTCCTTTCTGGAATGAAATAGAGGAAACAATCATCATCATCAGTTGGCGCTACAGCCCTTTGTGAGCCTTGGCCTGCTTCAAAAAATTCTTCCATCCTTCCCTATCGAGTGTCTGTCTTCTCCAGCCCCTCACTCCAATCTCCCTTAAATCTTCCTGTACATCGTCCAGATATCTGAGTTTAGATCGCCCCCTTCTTCTTTTTCCGACCGGCCTGTTTAGCATAGTTATTTTAGTGGGATCACTCTCATCCATCCGCATAACGTGGCCCACCCACCTTAAGCGGTTTATTTTGATGGTCTTCACAATATCTGCATCACCAAAAAGTCTATAGAGATCAAAGTTATATCGCCTTCTCCACAGACCCTGTTCGTTTACTCCGCCAAATATGGTCCTTAATACTTTTCTTTCAAAGACTCTTAGTAACTCTTCATCTCGGGTCGTCATTGCCCATGTTTCCGATCCGTATGTGAGCACTGGGCGTATTATTGTTTTATAAAGTTTGCACTTTGTTGCTATTGACATACTTCTCGCTCTTAGTTGAGGGCCCAGGCCAAAATAACAGCGGTTATTCTTCTTCAGCAACGCATATTCTTTTTTTTTATCTCGTTGGATGTGTTATTTTTATAGTCTACCAGTGATCCTAAGTAGCAGAATTCTTATACCATTTCTATAGTTTCGTGTTGCATCTCTAAGTTATTTTGTTGAATTCTTGACTTGGTCGGCATATATATTCTGAAGTTATAGAGAAATATTTAAAAATTGGTGTTTTTAAAAAGTGACAAAGATGAAGGTTTATTATATCGAGCGCTTTGGTTACATAAAAACTATTAATTATTTACTTTCTTATTACCTTTACTTACTTGATAAGGAAAATCCTGTTCTGGTTCCACACCAAAACTTTGCTGTAGATTATTATTTATGGTATTCGTAGCTAAAACTAAATTATACTCTTATTTATATCAGTTTTTAAATAAAAAGTAAACACAGACGAAAAGAATATTTGCAAATGGACCATAAAAGTATGTATTTTGTAAAAAAAACAGCAATAAGTTTAATTTTATAGGTTAACTAATCTGAATTGAACAGAGACAAAAAGGCAGAATGGGCCTCATCTACTGGAGTTTTATGGAACTTTCAACAACTTGAGGGGAACTTTAAATGACACACCAAGCAAAAGACATAAAAAAAACCCAAACTACACAAAAGACATAAATAATAGGTTTTCTTTAATTTTGAACATTCTTGGGGTGGATTTACTTATTCCCCTGTGTATCCGACCCTGCCGGGTGCTCGAGGTTGATTTCGCCAGAAACCTCCTCTATGGAGATTCATTGCTGCTGCTACTCGCTTTCTCCACTGTCCTGCCCGAAATAATTCCACGGTAGCATTTAAGGCAAATGACTCTTTACATATAGCTCCCACAGTGCTATCAGTATATCATCAGCAATGAAGGGCATAGAAATTACTGCTGCTACAGCTCTGTGTATTTTAAGTTTACAAAATTATCTTAAAGTTTTAAAAACAATTGAGGTAGAAAAAAAAAACGTCGAAAAAAACTGACTTGTGAGGAATCCAGAGAGTTTTTTAACTTTTACAGAATGTCACACATAGATTTTGAATTTTTGCTTCAGAAAATTGAGCCCATGATAAAAACTAGACTAAAGTAATAATTCCAATACCATCAAAAATACGCTTGGCAATAACATTATTATATTTGGCCACTGCGGACAGTTACCAAAGTTTGCATTATTTATTTAAAGTATCATCACCAGCATCGTTTTAAAGGACCAAATTTAAAGGTATATTGTGTCTTTTTTGTGGTCTTTAGGTGAAGAAATCCACAACAATCTCGCACTAGCATATAGAATAGATAATCTCCCATCGGAATTATATAAAGAAGGTGGCCACGATATAATAATAGCGCTACAGCAGCTTATAAAAGAAATATGGATACAGAAGTCCCTTCCCAGTGATTGGAATATTGGAATACTTTGCACCATACACAAAAAGGGAGATATCTTTGAATGCTCTAACTATCGAGGAATTACGCTCCTAAATGCAGCGTATAAAATATTCTCCAATATTCTATGCCATCGTAAATCAACAATTCATCAGATTTCAACCCTGTGACAAATTCTAGAGAAAACACTGGAATACGGTGTAGACACGCACCACATATATATATATATATATATATATATATATATATATATATATATATATATATATATATATATATATATATATATATATATATATATATATATATATATATATAGACTACAAGGCAGCCTAAAACTCTGTAAATAGAAGAGAATTGTTTAGAGCAATGATATAGACCTAGAAGTACCAAATCAGTTAGTAAGTCTAACCAAACTAACCCTTGAAAAAGTTGAATGCGCAGTACGAATCCAGAGAGAACTCTCTGAACCTTTTAAAACAAATAACGGGCTACGTCAGGGAGACCCACTCTCCTGTATACCTACTATTCAATCTAGCTCTGGAAAAAGTAATACGTACGTCACAAATCACAACTACCGGTTCAATATATAACAAATCTGTGCAAATCTTAGCATATCCTGATGATATCAATATTGTTGGAAGAACGAAAAATGCAGCACGAGAGGCGTACGTAGCACTAAAGGAAGCGGCTACAAAAATGGGTTTAATAATAAACACCAATAAAACGAAATACATGAAAATAGGTACGCAACCACAAATACTACGGCCACTTGTTATAGAAAACGACGTCATCGAATCAGTTAACGAATTTGTATACAACACCTGTATACAAATTCGTATACAGTATCGTATACTGTATACAGTACCTGAGAACGCTCGTCAATACTGAAAATGACACTATACACAGATGATACACAGAGATAAACCGCAGAATTTGCAAGGCTAAAGCTGGCCACTCACTTGCGGATATCGAAGAGGCCAAGCGACTGACAGGCCCTTTTAACTGAAGGCCAAAATCGTCACATACACGCAGTTCTCGTAAAGGCATCGACGCGCTCGCTTATCGAAACTGCACGTGTGTGACATCTCATCTGCAGTCCATTAACTTAACTGACATCTTTAGACAAATCCGATTTTTTAAAGAACTGATGGCGAACAAAAGTGCAAATAATCCCGAATTTTTACGTTAATTCATTGATATTTATCAATCACACCCTTGCCTATGGAAGATTAAAGATAAATCTTACGCGAATCAGGATTTAAGAGAGAAAGCATATCAAAAATTAATAAACCTTTAAATGTTGTTAAAAATGTTTAAAGTTAATGTTGAAGCATCTCAGGATATAGCGCGCCACAAAGAATTATGTATTTTCCGGAATTATCACTCCTACTTCTTCCACAGTAATTACACTTCTCATTTAAGAGTTGTTTTGTTTTTTAATTAAAGGTGTCGCTAATTTAAGTAATGTTTAAAAACATGTTTCATCCATTCTTTAAATAGTTTTTATAATCGTGCGTACAGGAAAGCTTTAATTCTGCCATAAGTGACATGTGGGATAACCTATTCCTTTTCATCAGCCAGTCTTTAACCCAGTACACTTTTTTCTTTTTCTTTTGAGTTTCAAGCACAATTATTAAAGCACAAGCCATTTTTCGCGAGAGAGACATGTTTTCTCTTCGATAACTGCACTGTGTATGGTGAAGAGTTGCGATTTCATAGAGATTTTTAACTGAAGAAAATGGTCGTCGGATAACGACCTCATCTCGTATGTGTCGGTTTTCGATAACGGCCTTCAGTCGCGGCCTGCATGCCATCGCCTCTTCGATATCCGCAAGTGAGTGGCTAGCATAATAGATGATGTTTGGGCTTAATCTCCTTTTTAAATCTACAGTTATATCAAGATATCATCATCATCATCCAGCCTCAAGAGTCCACTGCTGAACATAGGCCTCTTCCTCATGTTTCCAACCCCGTCTATCTTGCGCCGCTCTTATCCAGTTTTTATTGAGTCTTCTTAAATCGTCAGTCCATCTTGTAGGTGGTCGACCGACGCTTCTCTTGTCTTCCCTTGGCCTCCATTCCAATAACCTCTTTGTCCATCGCCCATCTGTCATTCTGGCTATGTGTCCTGCCCCTCTCCATTTTAGTCTGGCTATCTTCTCGATTATGTCAGTCACTCCGGTTCTTCTCCTGATTTCTTCGTTTGTTATTCTGTCTCAGAGAGTTATTCCTAACATGGACCACTCCATTCTTCTCTGCGTGACTCTCAGTTTGGGAGCAGCTGCTTTTGTTAAGGTAAGTGTTTCTGCTCCGTACGTCAAGACTGGGAGGACGCACTGATCAAATACCTTTCTCTTTAGGCATGTGGGCAGCTCACTTTTAAAAGTCTCTCCCAGTTTTCCAAATGCTGCCCACCCAAGGCCGACTCTTCTCTTCAGTTCATGAGTCTGGTTATCTCTGCCAATCATAATTTCATGTTCCAGGTATTTATATCTATCTACGAGTTCTATTTCTTTCCCACCAATACTGATGTTCTGGTTGGGCACCAAATTGGTCATGATTTTTGTTTTCGAGATATTTATATTTAAACCTACATTTTCTGTAGCCACAACGAGTTCCTGTACCATCATCTGTATCAAGATATACAAAAGTAAAACTATACAAAAATAATACGCCCAGTCCTAACACATGGTTCAGAAACCTGACTTCAACAAAAAGCAATGAAAACATGTAGGATGTTTCGAAAGAAAAATACTAAGGCGAATCTATGGAGCGGTAAATGAAAATGGTGTCTGGAACAGACGATACAACTTCGAACTCTATAGAATATACCAGGAACCAAATATCGTAAAACACATTAAGATAGGACGTCTGAGTAGGCCATATAATGCGGATGGAGCAAACCGACCCAGCTAGAAAAACGCTCCTTGATAGACTTATTGGTCAAAGAAGAAGAGGAAGACTCAGAACAAGAATCCTAGATAACATAGACCAAGATATGAGAAATATGAAAATACGTGCTTGGCGGAGGAAGGCAATGGATAGGAACGACTGGAAAAAATTCTTGGGGAGGCTAGGACCCACACAGGGTTGTAAAGCCCAAATGATCATGAGAAAAAAACAAAATAAATACGGGAGAGAAAATCAAAGAAGGAAACAAACAAAATTACCAGAGAGAAAAACAAATATCTCAGAGAGAAAAATACACAAACCAATAGAGGATAATTCGTAGCTATAATTATTCGATAAACAATGCAAATCACCATATTGTGTGAGGCCCAAGGGGATAAGTACTAAAAGAACACCAAAAGAATCTTCACACAGACATTCTACAAAAAAAATAAGAACAAGTATAAAAAACGAAAAAAAAATGAAAAAACCAACAAAAACCCGGTCAAGTAGAGCTCAAATACTTGAGCATCAAGGCTCCGAACCGGACGTAGTTGATAAAATACATACTTTTTGAGTAATTCGCAAAAAACCGTTTGAAAAGTGTGAAATTTTTGAAAATATATTAATTAGGTATTGAAAAATATTAATTTTATAAAGTTTGAAGAAGCAATGCCTGGGTTTTTTCATTACTTTTATATTACCTATTATATTAATAGCATATACTAAAAAAATGAAATCGTCTCATTAAACGGTAACGGCTATCTTTAAGAATAAAAAATCTTACCATATTGCACAAAACACATAATCACTAAAATATCACAAACAATAGCACATGTCATATTGCCAAAATATTTATTGACTTATCTTTGATCGGAAACCATTTGCAATATATAATTAGAATTTTAATAGTAATCACCGACTAACATTCTGTCCGTGTCTTTCGGAATTAACTCATAAAGCGTTATCTCGACATCTTTTATCTGCGTTTATTGTCTAGGCAATGTTTGCATATAAACGTATTAGCTTATTTATACAATGAGACCTTTTATTTCTTAACACATGTTTTTATTCCCGTGCACAATGTAATAAGTTCACAAAACTATCGGAAAAGTAATCATATAAATATCGTTTATTTATTGAAGAGACTCTTCTACATATTTCCATCATATGACTAAAGGTTACCACACACGCTACGATAAATCGACAACGATTTTTAAGCTGTACCGTTAACACTGTATTATTCGCCGTTTATTCCTCTGCCAGTGGTACACCCAGGGGGGGTTAATCCCTCCCCCAGGGCACTATTCCGACACTTTTACTCACAAATTTTAAGGCCTCAATATGGAGGTAGCATAAAAAAAAATCGGTGCCCAATCAAAACCCCCTCTTACAGGAAAATTCTCGGTGCGCTACTGTCCTCTACCATACACGTTACGATAAATCGTTATGATCTAAGAGCCCTTTCACACGGCAACATCCAGTTTTTTGCAGGTACAGTATTTTGCAGGGTCCAGTTGAGTAGTATATGTACTTGATACTTGCAATCACACGAGCATCCGGTTTACGGTATCCAGCAAAAAACCGATCCGTTTAAATTTGACATTCGGTTTTGTCCCTGGAATGGGTCCAGTAAAAAAAGGATCCAGTTTAATTATACGTATAGTGTAATGGAAGTGTTCTCACCACTTCCTGCATACCGTTTTTTTACTGGACGCGGTGCGAGGAGCGGACCCCGCCTCGAACACAGCTGCCTGTTGACCGTGCGCCCACTCCTTCGCTCAGTGCTCAGTGCTTACCAGTCTACGCAAGGCCAGTTTTGTGATTGTGTTGCGAGATGACGCAAACCAAAATAGACCCAGAAGTACTTATTCCTCTTATAGAAAATAGACCTATTATATGGGATAAAACTTTAGAGAACTATAAGGATAAAAATTTTCGAACTACCGCATGGTGCGAAGTTTGTATTATTTTGAATGAAGAATTTGAGGGGATGGAAGAGGAAGAAAGAAAAAATTATGGTAAGTCTTAAATATAAATCTTTATTGAAATAGTATTAATTTAGCTCTGTATTGCTTCATCTTGCCACGGTACAGCTCCCACTTCAGACATAAAATAATTAGTGAACTCTCTTCGTATTGTATTTGCACAATGTCCACCTCGCGTACTTAGATCGCTCCGTATATTTAACCAAGATGTTGATTCGTTGCTTTCCATGTTAGCGTATGAATCTTCATTATTTATTATATAGTTATGGAGTACAGTGCAAGTTTTTACTATCGAAATAGCGGTACTAATGCTTACGTCCAATGAGCGATGAAATATTCGCCATTTGTTTGCCAATATTCCGAACGCACATTCTACATAGCGTCTGGCTCTAGTTAATCGATAATTAAATATTCTTTTATTTTTATCTAGATGAGTTCCTCCGTAGGGTCTCACCAAATTATAATGTAAACCGAATCCTTCATCCCTATTATCACAGAAGGTACTCTTCATTCCAAACCTCCAAAAAGAGGACGAGCATCCGGCAAATCTAAACTGCCATCAGTTAGCTTTTTCCAGAAAGTCGATTCTTTGAATATAGAGGAATCACATTCTTTGCCATATGAGCCTACGCTAATATAGATGAATCTATAATTCGAATCGACTACTGCTAGTAATACAATGGAAAAAATACTTGTAATTAAAGTACATAGAACCACTGCTATTTGGTTTCTTTAATCTTACGTGTTTCCAATCTACTGCACCAATACAGTAAGGGAAATTTGCTTTAGGAAAGAATCCGTCAGCAATTTCTTCCCATTCAAATTTTGTGTTTGACAGTTTCATATACTCTTCACACAAGTTGTTCCATATGACATTTGTAACGTCTATAATAATATTAGCAGAAACAGAAGACCAACTAAAAATATTGATGAACATACTATCAGAAGAAAATCACAGACTAGGTTTGGATATTAATCTTTCCAAAACCAAAATCATGGTATTCCACAAGAACCCCCATGAACAAATTACACCCAACATACAAATCAACGGTATCACCCTTCAGAGCTCCCAAAGCTTCATATACCTGGGCAGAGAGCTAAACAGTCAGCTAGACCACTCAAAAGAAATTAGAAGACGTATTGAAATAGCATGATCTGGCTTCATGAACATGCGTAAAATGCTCTGTAACCCCAGGCTATCAATCACAATAAGGTTAAGAACACTAAAGTGTTATGTGTGGTCTCTACTACTATATGGCTGTGAGACCTGGACATTAAAACAGTATGACGTCAACAAACTGAATTCATTCGAAATGTGGATGTACCGCCGAATGCTAAGAATAAGCTGGACCAGCAAAACTACAAATGAAGAGGTACTGGAAATAATGAACACACGACCTCATCTGGTTAATACAATCAAAATTAGAAAGACGTCATATCTAGGACACATAATGCGCCATAAGGAATTTGAGCAGCTCCAGGTAATATTAGAAGGCAAAATCGAGGGTAAAAGGGGTATAGGAAGAAAGAAGAAATCCTCGCTCCGAAACATCAGAGATTGGACTCACACAACAGGAAATGACTTAATCCATCAAGCCCAGAACAGAGAGAAATTTGCCATATTGATCGCCAACCTCAATAGAGAAGGCACTTAGGAGGAGGATAATAATATTACTGATTGTTGAAACTCCCACTCGATACGTATAATGTAAATCCATAAATAAACACCCAGGTGCCAAGTACCTGCAAATATTTTTGAATGTATTATTGTTTTCTTTTTCAGCAAAACATGTCGTTAAGAAATGGAATCAGATTAGAGACAGCTGGTCAAGAAGTTTAACTGCAACTAAGAACACCAAGCAATCTGGATCTGCTTCAGTGAATGTAAAAAAATACTGTTATCACAGCCAGTTGTTGTTAAAAAAAATATGGAACCAAGAGAAACATACGACAGTGTAAATAATGAAAAGAAAAACAAGGTTAATACAGATATTGAGAAAGTTGAGCCGGAAATTTCTATTAACCAAAGTGAAGAAATTGAAGATTAACTTTCTGTTGTAAATATAAGCTCTAGACAAGAAAATCCTAAAAGTGGTGCTAAACGATTTAAGAACAGTGATGTACCAAGACAAAAGTTTAATGTAGTGGATTAAAAATTTATGTCATTTATCAATCACCAGATGAAAATACAAAACAATTCGCAAAATGAAGATCGTAACTTGTCTTTTTTTTAAAAGCTTACTTCCAACAGTTGCCTTACTTAACGATGATCAAATACTAGAATTTCAAGCAGGTGTTATAAGTTTGCTGCAAAACATAAAAAGCCACAATAGAAGTCAACCACCATCCACTTCTAACTACTCGTATCAATCACAACAAGGTTATTTAACATCAGAGTACGTTCAACCATCGCCAAGCCCGTCAACTCAGAGGCAAAAAAAACTCTATTTTGTAGAATGGAGATTGTTAAGTGTAGTACGAGTAAACAGAGCAGATTGACACAAGAATCCAAAGGCATACTTTACAATGTATTTAAACATACGCAAATACTATTTCCTGAAGATAATCGAACCAGTTTTAAACAACGTGTGAGTGAAGCTACTGGAGTAGCTTTACGTACACTAGAAAGGATCATTCAACAAGCTAGTATGTTAACAAACGCAGAGTCAAATAATACACTAACATTTCCAGTTACAACACTTGCTAAAAGCAAAGCAACTGTGACAGACTTGAGGGAGTATGACAAACAGCTCATTAGAAATACCATGCATCGTTTTCATGAGACTGAATGTTGTCGTGTATTATTGAAGCTTCTGCAGAAAAAGCTTGAAGATGTGTAGGAGTGGACTGGAAGTGTGAGTTCTCTTTACAGAATTATGATAGATTTGCGATTTAAATGGAAGAAAACAAAAGATAATCAACGTTTATTAATTGAACGGAATGATATTCGTGCTCTACGCATTAAATATTTGGACAAAATTTAATATTACAGGAGCGAAGGTAAGTCAGTTGTATATGTTGATGAAACCTATGTACATACAGGACACACTGCACCAAATAGCTGGACAGATGGCAGTGGCAAGGGATTGTTCAAAAACATTTCAAAAGGTTCATTCAAAAAGGTTGGTTATTGTACATGGTGGTAAGGAGATGGATTTCATACAGAATGCCCTTTTGATTTTTAGGTCACGAGCTAAGACAGGAGATTATCATGATGATATGAATTTAAAAAATTATGAAAAATGGATGAAAGACCTGTTAATCCCCAATTTGCCTGTTGGCAAATCTGTTTTTATCATAATGTACAAATTAATAAAGCACCAACCAGTAATTCTAAAAAAATGGATATGATATCTTGGTTGACAGAAAAAAATTTACCATTTGTAACGTCCATGTTAAAACCACAATTGTATGAAATCATCACACGACACAAACAAGATCATATTCAATATCAATTTGACAAAGTGCTGCAAGAATGTGGATATGTTTCTTTAAAACTTCCGCCATATCATCCAGACTTGAACCCTATAGAAATGGTTCGGGCGCAAATAAAAAATGAAGTTGCAAAACAAAACGTTTATTTTAGAAGACGTAAATGTGTTGGTGAAACAGGAATTTGCTAGAGTAACTGTAGATAACTGGAAGAAAGTGTGTGAACATGTTGAGGCTCAATGAGTCCCCTTGTCTTATTCCGCTGTCCATTTCTAAAGGTTCTGTAAGTTGCCCATATATTTTGACTTCCATTTTGTTGTTTTCGTATATTTTTTCGATTGTTTTTATAATATTTATTTAATAAGTTCTATAAATGTATTAAATTCTATGGACGTGTATAAATAACAGAAATATTTATTTAAGATTTGATTTTATTGTATTTTTATATTTTGACGATTTTAATTTTTTATTCGAAATGATAAGTAAATATTTTTTTTTCATTCACTATATTATCATTTC